CACAAATCATAGATGGTCCTCTCTCTCTCTCTCTCTCTCTCTCTCTCTCTCTCTCTCTCTCTCTCTCTCTCTCTCTCTCTCTCTCTCTCTCTCTCTCTCTCTCTCTCTCTCTCTCTCTCTCTCTCTCTCTCTCTCTCTCTCTCTCTCTCTCTCTCTCTCTCTCTCTCTCTCTCTCTCTCTCTCTCTCTCTCTCTCTCTCTCTCTCTCTCTCTCTCTCTCTCTCTCTCTCTCTCTCTCTCTCTCTCTCTCTCTCTCTCTCTCTCTCTCTCTCTCTCTCTCTCTCCTCTCTCTCTCTCTCTCTCTCTCTCTCTCTCTCTCTCTCTCTCCCTCTCTCTCTCTCTCTCTCTCCCTCTCTCTCTCTCTCTCTCTCCCTCTCTCTCTCTCTCCCTCTCTCTCTCTCTCTCTCTCCCTCTCTCTCTCTCCCTCTCTCTCTCTCTCTCCTCTCTCTCTCTCTCTCTCTCTCTCTCTCTCTCTCTCTCCCTCTCTCTCTCCCTCTCTCTCTCTCTCTCTCTCTCTCCCTCTCTCTCTCTCTCTCTCCCTCTCTCTCTCTCCCTCTCTCTCTCTCCCTCTCTCTCTCTCTCCCTCTCTCTCTCTCTACCTCTCTCTCTCTCTCTCTCTCGCTCTTCTCTCTCTCACACACACACTCTCTCTCTGACATCAGCATCTGGGGGCTTTAATCCCCTCCCCCACAAGGGCAATCGTTTCCAGCGTTGTGGATCCTCATGAGGGAGGGGGAAGGGAGAGCATGTGGCTCTGGGTTCATCACTGGCTTCCATCGCGCAGAGTGGGTGGTGGGGGTGCGCCACGCCAGTTGTCGGAATCCTAACGAAGGCGGCGGTCACCATCTTCCGAGATCTGGCTGGTACCCCGCCGCCGCCAGTGGGCTCGACTTCATCCTCACCCGCGCTCGGCGATGGGGATATCGATACGCAAGCGACGATGCACTTGCCTTCCTCGTTTCTGCCAGTCTTTAGCTTGTTGAAATGCCCCAAAGAAGAGGAGCAGGAGGGAGATTGAACGGGAGGCAGCGACCGCTCACCAGATTCCACGCGACGAGAGTTTGAACTTGGTAGCCGCCATTAGCCGAGAGACTACTCGAGGATAGCTAGCTAACGACTGATAGGGAGTGCTCATCCTAGTTCTGGTCAAACGAACGCCACATTCTGATTCGTCCAAAGAAGATAACCTCATGGTTCACTAGGTCAATACCCGAGTGGCTCGAGCAGTTGATTCGTCTCCATGTCGAAGGCCTCAAGTCAATAAGCCTGATCGTAGAAGTATACCTACGTGTGGAGAGCAAGGTCAGACAGAGGAGAGAGAGAGAGAGAGAGAGGAAGAGAGAGGAAGGTAGGGGAGAGGGAGAAGAGATCACTGCAGAGGAGTACCCCCCAGCTTTTCGGGGTTGCACTTGACCCGCCTCCTCTTCGAGGCCCAAGGGGGCCGCTGTCAACGCGAGACGGGAGTCCCTTTAAGAGGCTAAGCTGGTTGGACGTTGACGCATCGGATCCAATCAATGCCTGCATGGATAGGCGTACTATCTCCATTGGACGGAAGGAAGAGGGAGAAGACTAATTGCAGCAATCGTCTACCTCCTACGTCCGAAGAATAATGGCAGCGCTGGGCCACCATCAGAACTGCAGTCACAATGATATGGTGGCTGGCTCGGGACCGCGGGCCTTTAGTTCCTCCCATTGGCGTACCCCTCCAGCGCCAAAGAAGAGCGGTTGATCACGAAGATTTGGAAGCACGAATAAAGAACGAACCCATCATTGCTTGCATTGGGCCAAATAAATTCCCCCACCGGTGCAATCAATGGAGCAGCCCTCCAGTTGGGCTCCTCGGAGGCGACCTCGATGACGATAACGCTCGGCCAACCGTATTATTTGCTCCTACGCCTTCTCTCCAATTTCACACCGGAGATTTCTTTTCTCTACACTCACTGTGTCGTGCTCACCGACCATCTCCGTCTCTACAAAGACATATCGCCACATACATGCACATTTACATAGTGAAAGATGAATGGACAGAGAGAATTATATGATCAGAAGAGTTTCCTTAACGTATGTACGTATACATTTATAATATAAATATAAAATAAATATTCTTATAAGTTTGCCATGTCGGTCAATAGATTATGATACATACACGTAAAATTTAGTACTAAACTAATCGATTAGTTAATGCTTAAACGGTTCTTAAGTTAAAATTCTGATATTGGCATCCTATGCTCATTCCATAAGCTTATTAAAGTGAATGAATACTAATTTGGTAAAATAATAGCAGGCCTTATAGTTAGTGCTGTTAGCGGGGCGCAGAAAGGTGCGGCCCTTGCAAAGTCTAGTCAGAACTCAAACATCTTTCGCATGACGACCATGTAACCAGCCTGAGAGAAAAACCCAGTTATCAGCCTCTTGCGTGGAGTTGGACTGATTCTAAAAAGAGAGAGAGAGCAGAGAGAGCAGAGCAGAGAGAGCAGAGAGAGGTTAGAGGAGAGAGAGCTTGCATCTGTGGAACAGCAACAACAAAACAAATTTTCCTTAAAATTTAGATATTATCAGGCGTCCACCAACAATTAAATAAATTAATATAGCCAGCCACTAATCCCTGCATCATCCAACTGGAGCCGGACTTTCCCCATAAATGACTTGATTGCACTTTCATATGAAAACTAGTCATATAAATTAAGGATGTGGACAAGTTCGCCTGTCCAATCCATCGCGACTGGTCCTGTGACGTTGCAAAGACAATGAACTTTTCCTGTGTAATTAGCGTCAGGGCCAGGTTCCGTGCTTTCCGAAATAGTGCACTTCCGGTCCAGACCTTGGGAAAGGTATCCAAGTACACCATCGGCAAGAGATTTGGTTCTGCACATAGAGTAATAGGGCTCTCTCTCTCTCTCTCTCTCTCTCTCTCTCTCTCTCTCTCTCTCTCTCTCTCTCTCTCTCTCTCTCTCTCTCTCTCTCTCTCTCTTTCTCTCGATATATATATATATATATCAATTTATCTATCTATCTATCCCTATCTCCATCTCATCTATATATATATATATACATGTGTCCCTATATACCCTTATCCCTATCTTTTGTCTTCGAGGGCATGTGGGAAGCCTGGAGCAGCGTTGAAAAGTGGCTTCTGGGGAATTCGTGGATTTTGCTCCGCTTGGGAAGGACTGAGATGACAGAGAGATGAAGCAGTTCTATGACTAAAACTGGTGGACTTTCGTGGACTGGAAGGAGTGCAAAGTTCGAACAGAAAGGACCTCTGTTTCCTTCTCCAATGAGAGGGGTTTTCAAGAGTTAGAGCTCTCAGCTCCGGCAACCACAATACAGTATTGGTATAATGTACTACTATTTTATTGATCTTGAACCACAATATAGTTATTTAACGTGGTATTTAATTTCATAATTACATTACTGTTTAATAATCCGTCTGCGTTCTTGACTGTACAAATTTTGAAAACATAACATCATGAGGGGACATAATATAATAATTCTACAGGACAGGTATTAAATACTCTAGATAAGATCCAGTTAATTTTAATTTGACAATCCATTTTCAACATACTTTGGAAGCTTACAGTTACTTTGAATATTGCCAAGCGGGGCATGTTAGTGCAATTTCGCCTAGCAAATAGCTTAAATAGTTTAGTTAGATATATCAAAATAGTATAATGGGTGTTAATTGAATTTGAAATTGATAACCTAACGTTTGAATATAATATCAAAATTTGATACATACAAATTTGAAGATGCCTCATTTGTCAACAATGATTTTTAATCTAATTATTCGTTCATTCTTACAATAAAAAATTAATGCGCATGTCTAAGCTGGCAACCTGTCGTTAGCTTTGTCTCGAGAGTAGTTTCGGAAGAAAGAATCCATTGCGATCGGTGGGGTATGGAGCGTGTCAATACTTGCCGGGAGAGGGGGGGGGGAGGAGAGAGAGAGAGAGAGAGAGAGAGAGAGAGAGAGAGGGGTAGAGGGTGTGCATACAGCACATGGGAAATAAGATCCGGGTCGGGTCCAGCTCACTTGGGAGTTATCACAGAGTTACAGAGAGAGAGACGGAGAGAGAGGGGGAGGATCCGGTCAGGCCCAGATATGCCCAGCCCGGCCCTCGTGAAGCATTAGACAGACGGAGAGAGCGAGAGCGAGAGAGGATCCGGGTGAGGCCCAGGTATCCCTAGCCCGACCCTCACGAAGCATTAGACAGACGGAGAGAGAGAGAGGAGGCTGGCCACCTCACGAGTGATCGTGAAGACAGCTAAGTGACAAAAGAAATGGGTTCTTGTTCCTCCAGAGTGGTCTTGCCCGAAGCCCGTCTCAGCCCCGATAAAAATTGCTGATTTGGGATCCAGCTGCGGCTACTTTTGTGGGGGCATAATCAAGGCACCATGGATGCCCATTTACAGTAGCGGCAGGAGGATAGAGTTATAGTATCTGGCCCTTTCAAGCTCTCGTCGCTGTCAGTTTGAGGGCCACGGAGGACAGGCACGCTAAGAATGTCCACGCAGAAGAGAGATATCGAGATATGTGTTCAGACATAGGGATATTGAGATAGATAGATGTAGGAATGCCCATGTACTTAGAGCGAGAGAGATGGGTAGTGACATTTTTGGTGTCTCTAAGGTGCAACATATATGGAAGGTCAAGACGTGGGGATGTGAAGACATTTAGAGAAGACGGAGAGAAAAAGGCGAGCAATGCTATTTTTGGTGTTTTTAAGAAAGATCAAATATTTCAAGAACCAGTGGAAGTGGGGGTACTGTTTCCACTGAAATTAATGTCATATAGTACAAAGTTTGCCAACTGCCAAGAAAAAAGCCTCTTCGTCTTCAAAATATGCTTGTATACACAAAAAGCCCACCATTTCGGCAAAACTGGGCTGCTTTGAGAGAGAGGGCTACTGCTTCCACTGTGAGGAGAGGTTTTTAGAAAGAGAAAACAAAGCGAACAACAGCGCTAACAGATGGAGAAACCGTCTCCTCGGATCTGTGAGATCATCTCCTGTGGCAACCGGGGAAGTGTTTCGTTTGCTTCGTTTCCTCCTTCCAGACTCGGCTGATGTCGTTGGCGATCCTCACGGCGTCCACGGATGCCCCGGAGAGCCCCCGCCTCGTGAACCCTACTGCGTAGAGCCCCGATTTGCCTTTCCACCCGTTGGGGAACGGCTGCCTCGGGAAGCCATCCTTGGCGAAGAAATCTGTGTCCTGTATAGCGAAGTCCTCCAACATCTTCAGCTATCCTCAATTAGAGAACAAAATAATAAATTACTGTAAACTATTGCATTTGGCTTTTGACCCACGCCAACTGCATCTAGTCTCTCTTTCTCTCCCCCTCTCTCTCACCCTCTCTCTAACTTTGTCAAGAAACACATGTGAGCAAACTCTCACATCCCTGCTAGAGGGAGGATGGAGAGAGAGAGAGAGAGAGAGGAACCCATAATAGGCTGTCCTGCCAGAACCAAGCTGCCTCCTTTTAGCCTGCCGACTGTTATTACATCCCGCCCCGTGCAAGCCCCCCCTCAACTTCTATAAGTGCTCAATTTATGAGGGCTGCGGAATTGGGAAGAGGAGAGAGAGAGAGGGACCGGGGAAGAAGATGACCTCTGTCTTTCCCAAAGAAGGAAGCAAGATAGGAGGGTTAAGGGAGGACAGAGAAGGTGATGGCACCCACCTGCAGCCAGGAGGAGACGTTGCTGCGGTAGCCGGTGGCGAGGATGACGGCGTCGACATCCATGGTTCGACCATCGACAAGATCGACCTTGCCCCGGGAGAACCTCCTGACACCGGGGACGACCTTGATGTCGCCGGATCTGATCTTCCCCAGGGCGCCGATGTCCAGAACGGGGGTCTTTCCTTCCTTGTTCTTCAGCTCCATGGGCCCATCCGAGGGCCGCCGGATGCCGTACCTCTCCAGGTTGCCCAAAACCAGCCATGCCAACATCAGCAAGATCCTGTCGACCATCCAAAGCGGCAGCCATTTCATCAGGGTCACCGCCATCTCGAACGTTGACTTCCCCACGACCTCTCTGGGAAGAATATGCACCTGTTCGATCTGCATATTAGTCATTGGACCCTAATTTCTAATACAAGGTTTACCAGATTTGATTCTCACCGAGTCTCGGACCACCATGAAGGGAAAGGCGTCGTGATGGGTGAGGTCGAGGCACACCTCCATGCCGGAGTTGCCGCAGCCGACGACGAGGACCCGCTTCCCGCGGTAGGGTTCACCGGACTTGTAGTCGCAGGCGTGGATAACCTCGCCGCTGAATTCGCGGATGCCGTCCATCTCGGGAACAACGCTCTCGGCGTTCTCTCCAGTCGCCGCCACCAGCCACCGGCAGATGTACTCCACCTCGGTGGAGGTTCGGACCCGCCATAGGCCGCAGGTGCCGTCGTACTTGGCGGACACGACAGATTCGTTGAAGCGGGGGCGGAGGTCGAAGCGCCGGGCGTAGGACTCGAGATAGTCGATGAATTGCTTCCGGGAGGGGTACTCCGGGAAGTCGTCGGGAAAGGGGACTTTGGGAAGCTGGCAGAACTGCTTGGGGAGATGGAGCTTGAGGCGGTCGTAGGTGCGGTTCTGCCACAGCGAGGCAATGCAGTCGGCGCGCTCCAGGATGACGAAGGGAACGCTGTGCTCCCGCAGGCAGGCCCCCACCGCCAGCCCCGCCGGCCCCGCCCCAACTATGATCGGTCCGTTGACCCACACGCAACGTCTCGCGAAGAAGTCTTCGTTGCCCGGCACGCGAGCCATCACAAGAAGAAGAAGAAGAAGAAGAAAAAGGGAAGGGAGCTCTGGCGTGCGCTCGGTTTCGGGGAGACCTCTGGTTGAAAGGGGATACAAAACGGAGATGAAGAGGAGCCTGCAAAAGAAATAGCGAGAGCAATGAATGGGGAAGGAGTGGAGGCGTATAAATAGTTGGCCACCGCGGCCGCGTCATCTGCATGTGATCCGGGTGGGGGGAGGGGGGCGGGGGGGTTGTCAAATGATGAGCCCGATGCCTCCTTTCGCCTAAAATATTCCTCCCTTATTATGTATTAAACACCAAGGTTTTCTCTACACATTTTACCAAACAATTATGGTGAAAAATTAGCTTCGTCGATCACAAACCTGTGAAACTATTATACTAGCTCTCCGGCCCCCAAGGGACCGAGTAGCTGAAACCTCCCGCTTCCATTGTACATCGTCTATATGAATCGAAGGAATAAGCTCTGGAGTATTTATACGAAATAATTGTCTTATTCTCGCAGCCGCAAACCACCTGCCCCCCGTTTTGAAGGTCCCTTCGCTCCCGCAGGAACAGTGGCGTGGGCGGTCAGTCGAGGGAAGGAAATGTCGGTGCAGATCACACAGATACATGCATACGTGCATGCTCACGACCACGAAAACTAGAAGCCCAAAACGCTTCGTTCGGGGTGGTGCAACGTGTGCCGCTGGCCTGTACGGCGGACCCACCTTGGCGCCTCCCCGCCAGGTAGTCAAATCTCATCGGCCATGCCGACAAGACAGAGGAAGCTTGAAGGATGATCGGTGAAACATGGGGGAGGGGAGGACATATGTGTGGAGATCTATGGTTCAACGTTCAAAACCGGCGGCATGATGATCACGTTGGTGCATTCATTCTAAAATGGGGATGCATGAATCTCCAAGGAAATAGAAACTTCCCAAATGAGACGATAACAAGGAGTTGATTCCAGTTAGTTGGGGAATGTGGGAGGCGAGGGACTTAGCTAGCTTCACCACTTTTTTAGCGATATTTCTCAGAATAAATCAACCAACGGCGATAAAATCAATGACTTCAGATACGTCCACTGTTGACGCCATCTTAGAAATATAAGAATAATATACTTAATAACGCCTGATCATTCTGCAAGAACTGAAGTTTATCAGATATGTTGCTACTAGAGGCATGAAGTTACAACCGAAGGGTTCTTGCCCGGTCACTTTTCAGATGGCCAGTCGTAAACCATCTCTAAACCCTTGAAACATACAATGACTTATCAAATAAATGGTATATTGAGTAGCACGCGAAGGTTTTAGTAAACTGAGGACCTGTCAAATGGCTTTTAATGAACAAGCGCATCACTAACCCAATGCAAAGGAGACATCCTCTGAGATGTTTGTGTTCTCTCATAACTCCCCTTGGAGTACGTGGATATAATCCCTCTCTCTCTCTCTCTCTCTCTCTCTCTCTCTTGTTGTTTCATGGGTAGCCCTCATCGTCGATAAATTTGGAGAAAAATCTCTGTATTAACTCATTTGTGTTGGTACCGGTCTTATACAGGCTAATCAACAGAGAGACGCCTCGAATAGTTAAAACGAGGCTAAGGGAAAAAGAACATCTTCTACAGAGGCCAGTTAAAGATCACGCGGCCCCTAGTTGGCAGGCTTGCATGCTTTCAAAGCGCGGTGAATAAACAAGAGACCGTCTATCAAGAGCAAACGCGGAGACATAAATATTAAAACAAGGAACAGGTTCATTTCACAATAAAGTATCCCTCTACCTAAAATAATGCATAATCGAACGCATTTTCGGGTATAAAACATTAACATGCGACAAGAGTAACTAAACAGGGACGGAGGCCTAGATGGAGGCTAGAGACCGGGCATGCCGAAGGGATGCGGACCTCAGCAGTCTGTCTGCTCGTGGGATGTTCTCTATGGGGACTTTTATCCAACTCATGGGCGGTTATGGCAATTGGAGTAGAACTCGGCTCACATCATGGTGGGGAGGCATCTGCATGGAACTTGAGTTATTTCCTTCCTGCCTACGTAAAAATCTCGGCTTTTCATGCAGACCCAGTCAAGAACTGATGGGGGAGTGGGGTGGGAGGGTTGGCGTTTTTCTGAGATCGGTAGATGATAGGGCTATTGGAACGATTTTCCTTCGAAAAGAATCATTCGAGAGCCTCCATATGCGCCATACAGGAAAGTTAGTTCGAGTTTTGATGGAATCCCAAAGCTCAGCTTATTAGCTGGGCGAGAGTGTGCGCTAGGTCAACCTCCCTCTCTCTCTCTCTCCTCCTCCTCCTCATATGTCTCAATCTCTATCAATCTATCCCAAACTTTTCACCGGCAGTCCCATCATTAGTATGTACAGGAGCGAGGGTTGGGGAGGAGGATCCGTTGTTACTCCCCAATCCCTTCCCGGCCAGCTGTTGCGGAAAGAGATATCCATGCCATGCCCACGTCCGTCCCAGTGCTTTACTAACGCGTCTCTCTCCCTCCCTCCCTATCTCTCTATCTCATTTTTATAGTTAGACCCACTGGGAGCACCCGCCGGAGTCGGCGGGCACTGACCGCCGCCAGCCCCGAAAGCGAGGCCAACGGCTGGGCTCAGGCTACACTAGACAACTTTAGACTAAACTAATGAGGGAAAGCCCAAGGAAGGCCCCTACGGCTAGGGTTGGGCCACGCCCAAAAGGCCGCGGGAGGGGAATCATCGGCAGGGAGGCCGCAGGGGCGAGCCACGGGATGCTTCCTTGGTGGAGAATGCCCTCCTCTCTTTCTTGGGCTCGTGACCGACCTTCCTAAAGAGAGGAATGGCGCTTTGGAGTGAGCGGAAAAAGCGATCAGGAGGCCGGGGTCTCTACGTTCAGACTTACTCAAGGGCTCTCTTTCGTGTCACTAAACTAATCCGCCAGTAGCTGCATCTCAGAAATTCTCTCTCTCTCTCTCTCGAACGCCTTGGTTCCTTGCCTTCACATAGGACTTCTACCGCGGATTAGGTGGCTCATATGAATGCCATGATGTGGTCAATTGACGCTGATTAGTTGTTCCATTCTTTGACAGAATCTTTCACGACCCTCTTTGTTGACATGAACCCATCATTTTTTCTTAAATTATAACTGAATAATGGTTTCAACGCTCATGAGGGGGCAGCATAACCACCACTAAAGCAGTCATCTTCTAGTCAAACAATGGAATAGTTTCTCTCTCTCTTGACCAGGTTCTGGGCGTTCCCACCGGACCTCTATGGTGAGTTAGGTGGCTTACATGCACGCCATGGCATGCTTACACTAATGTCCGGACAATCATATATGATAATCGCATTCAGAAGACCTTTGACGGCCACCCTTTTCGACACGTACCCATCCCTCTTTCCCTGAACAAGAACTTGATCATCGTTTCAACCGACGGAGAGGACGTAAGCTAGAAATGTTTGTTGGGTTCTTTAAGCGAAAGATGAAGGGAGGGGGATAGAGAAGATCTTAGGAGATATACAGTATCATCAGATCAGGGGGTTGGACGACCCGTTCAGTTGTCCTTCCACCAACTATCGTCACATTCCTTTCTGATCAAGGTAAAGAGTACCTAGATTGCACCCTGTTGGAGGCCATCGTATGGATATAAACATTATAAAGTGCTATCTAGTTCTCCTGGGATGTTAATCGCCTCCTTCCCAGTTAAGGAAGCGATAAACGAATTGATCTCCTCGCGAGACTGGAAGGCCGGGATGTATTTTTATTCGACGCATGCGCACGGAAACCTTAGTCTCTCCAAGTTCGATGGTTCCTCCAGTGACTGCACCGAAGCTCCTTCCGATCCCCAGGTTCGAGAGAAGGGCAATGACCATCTCGCAGCGATATCCAACCTGCCGCAAGGGAGCCCTCCTCCCTTGTTAGGGCATACCACGCGGAGAACACCTCTCTCTCTCTCTCTCTCTCTCTCTCTCTCTCTCTCCTCCTCACCCCCACAATCATGTCGACTGTCTTGTATCAAACCGTCCAAGAGGTAACAGTTCCAACACAATGAATTAATGAAACCCCCTTCTCCACATGGATATCAAAAGAAGGTATTCTGGGGATGGGGGACTGCGCCTCTTCTTTTCTTTTCAATCCCACAGCTATTTCCTAGGCTCTTCACATGGCAAGCAAGAATCATAATCAATGAAAACGTGCGGCTTAACGTAATCGAAGGGACGGCGTCTCTGTTCTCCGGAGCATCCCCCATCTCCTCATTTAATAGGCTCCAACTTCCTGCGGTGCACCACCAGGGGCTCGGTTTCGTCCACCCTAAGGGATTTAGTTAAGGTGTTCTAGGCGCTTCTCGGCCATGTTCTCAGGATGAGGTAGGGTGCATATGGACAGAGATCTTCTAAGCCCGAGAATGGTCGCTCTCTCTCTCTCTCTCTCTCTCTCTCTCTCTCTCTCTCTCTCTCTCTCTCTCTCTCTCTCTCTCTCTCGCTCGCACGCACACACACACACACACACACACACACACACACACACACACGCACACTCCCTGCTCGAATTGCTCGTCAAGACATCTCCAAGGTTTGTTCAAGAACATGGACAAGTTTCGAATGTGTATGGGAACCATGTGCAGGTCCAAAAACCCAAGTCTCTTAGAAGCCCATGGATGACCCAGGCTTGGGCCAGACGCTGGGCGTAGAGAAGGCCCGGCTTCACTGCAACCCTAATGATTTTTGTGAACGCGGGGTCGGACAGAGTCAGCGGAATCAAGGATCAGACCGAGAGCAACTCGACGCAGAGAGAACGAATCGTAAGTTCATCCATGCACACCGAGAGAGAGAGAGAGAGAGCCGAAGCTCCTGGAAGGATTCAACGCAGCGATGCGCGAGCGGGAGAGAGAAGCCCTGAGGAGAAATTATCACTGGAACGCTGACAGAAGATCTCCTCTCGTCAAAAAAATAGATCCTGGCTTCATCGTTCTGCCCTTATTCCGTCACAGAAGGCAGCTGGAGATGAAGGAATGGCAGCGGTGGCAGGGGAGTGCAGTGACTCTGAACATTTCCCCGAGAGAGAGAGAAAGAGAGAGAGAGAGAGAGAGAGAGAGAGTACTCTCACGGAGCTGAAGGCAATCTTAGTGCATGGCTTCGGAAGCATACATGGAATCGACGACGGCTCCATGGCCAAGAGTTTCTATTCACAAATAACCGAACCGAAGAGAGGAAACATAAAGTCATGCATTATGACATGCCGTCAACGCTAGCGAATCAAATCTAAAAGGGGGAAAATAGGAAAAAAGAGCATCGTCATTTCCGATATCCAGTCTCCGCACCGGCATCTTGAAGAAGGGGAGGAGGAGCGGGGCGGAGGTGTCCCGTCCCGCGTCTCTCTGCAACAGCTCAAGAAACGTTGACCAGATCTTCACCGAGCATGCGGAGCGACGCCAAGTTAGAAATCAGTGGCGTATGTACACTTCGGGAAAGAAGGAATCGACGAAGGAACTAAAGCTGTACATTCAATCGGCGGTCAGAAAAGCCTTTGAACGAATGATTTACCAGATGGGTCATCGTCCCTCCTGGCCGTCTTCGTCGGCACGCGACCTCGAGAACCGGCGGCGCCTCCGCGGCGCCGGGACCTCATCGCCGTTGAGAAACCCATCGGCGGTCTCGTCGCCATCTTGCAGATCCGGCAAGTTGAGGTCCCACATGTTCCTGTGCCCGGACCTCCGATGCGTTCTCCACGACCTCACAAGGCCCCGCCGCTCGCCGGCAGGCCCGAGCGGGGTGTGCAACATCTGCAACATGAAGAAAGTAGTCCACCAGGATCTTCCACCCCTCCCCGAGCCGCTGCTCTCCCAGTCCTGCAGCAAGCCCTCTCCGTTGTCGATCACATAGTCTCCGATCACGATGGCGCCGGGCGAGGTCGACTGCAGGGCGCTGATGATATCGCCGACCTCGCGCTCGTGCTCCAGGTGCCGCCACGCCCGCTGCCTCGACGGGTCGGCGTCGGCGGGCCTCGACGACGGGTGGACTCTCCTTGCGTGCCTCCGCAGCTCCCTGTAGTTGCCGGAGAAGGCGCAGGACTCCCTCGAGCAGCTCCTGGGCTTCAGATCCAGGTAGTGCCTCACCTCGTCCTCAATCCGATACCCTAGAACAACCCCGCGGCAAAGAGGGCACTTCAAGATGCTGTTCTTCTCCGCCCCAGCGCCCCCGCCAGGCTCTTCAAGATCCATCCTTTCACCGGGCGCCGGATTGTGGGTCTCCTCCTCCTCCGCCGCCGTGAACTGACCTGCGGGAAGGCGAACTTCGCCGCCGCTTCCGTCCAAAGAAGGGGCTCCGTGCGACCCCGCCGGGCCCCTTCTCGTCCTCTGCAAGTCGTGGACGTGCTCTGCGGCAAGAGAGCTCTGGCCGTGCCTGAAGCTCTGCGCATTCCCCGTCAATAAGCCACCACACGGAGGTCCGTTCTTGTGATTCTTGAGTCTGTCCAGGCAGTTCGAATGCCTATGACTCGTGTCGCAGACGTACGGGCGGCAGCCCTTTTCGTAGGAGCTGCAGAGGAGAAGCACGGCATTGTGCGGATGGTCCATGCAGACCGGGCACAGAATCTCGTCCCATTCCTTGCGCTGCAATAGGCTGGCATCTCCAACGCCGGAGGAGCTTCCTTTCACATCTGTCATCTCAAACTCACTGCCATAGGCCGTTTAAAATTCAGATTAATAACCAGGGAGGGCCACAGGCTAAGCGCATCTATCAGCACAAGTTTTCTCTAAAAAGTACAAAAATCTTTCACCCAGTTTCTCTCAGGTCAGAGAGCCCTCGCTCTTCTTCAAACAGATCATAACGTCACAAGAAGAATTAACTCGGGAGGGGATATCTGCTCAGATTCAGAGTGATCCCGAGAGCAGACGCAGAAGAAGCTCTTGAAACTTCCCTGTTATCATCTATTTTTTGTGAATCAAAAAGGCTGGCGGCCCTCTGGAGGACCATAACGACGAAGAAGACAGGACCCTCTCTGTGCACTGCGGGTAGGCAGAGTAAGAGCAGGGGCACTGGGAATCGCCTGATCCGCTGCACAGTACAATACAAAGGTCTGCACATTGTCATGGGAAAGGGGGGGGCAGGTTCAACCTTGCGGTCAAACATATGGGCATACAGTCCTAGTCATACTCCCCTGGTTTTAAGGTCAAACCCGTGACTAAGTACATCCCTTCTCACGGACCCACACTCCAGAAGACCGACTCAGCATATCCCTCCACTGGCGGCAAGAAACACAGCTTTGGGCCAGAGAAATGAAGGATCAACCGAGTATTATGGCCTAATTAGAGTCTCCACAAAATTATACTCATATTCTTTCGCCAAACCAAAATTTACCATTAAAGAGATGGTAACTATACCATCAGCATCAGCTAGACGTTACTGGATGAGAACTAAAACTTGAGCTCTCCCATCACAGGGCAGTGGAACGGGGCTCAAAATTCAACAGGGTAATACACCCAGATATTCCACACATTGCACATCAATAAGCGAAAGCAGTGCGAACACTGTGCTAAGACCACCAAACTCAGGGAGATTAAAATGCGCAGAATGAAGAAACTTTCCTTCTCATGGCATGGAGCTAGATGGGAGGAGCGCCCCCCCCCCAATCTTTACGAAAACAGATCACTTGATAAGCACTAACTAGGAACTATGTAATCTTGATGATCTCATCCCAAACACAGAAAAGATCGCCACCCTCAGTTTACAAACTTTGTAACTCCGCGGGGTTCCATATATACCCGCCGGAAGAAATCTGATTTGGCAGGTTGGTCAAGAAAGAACTTAATCTAGAATCCAAGGAAAGAGGCCGAATTGGACTAATCGGATCGCCTCATCTGGTCAACAACACTTCAAATGTGGCGAGGTGAGCGCCAGACAGAAACCATTTCCCATTCTCTTCCCCCATCAATAGATGAAGATGAAGCTTTGTCCTCCAGCATGCTTTGCTGATGGGCCCGGGCTTCAAGCCTTTGATCACTGGCCGCAGTGAGCAAGTAGTCCAAAACCAGGTGGCCAACCCCATCTCTGCAGATGAACTTCTTCTCCATCAACTCAAAAAAAAAAAAAAAAAAAATTACGCACTTTCAAGAAAAGTCTGTTAAACCACCACTTCTCAATTTGAAGTCAACCCACGATATCTGTGCACTAGAAGTAGTCTTCAATTATCTTGAAGTGAATTACATAAATAAAACTGTGTTTAGCCATAGGGCTCCTTATTGGTGTCGGAGTTCATGGAGGTGCATCCAAAGGATTTATATCAAGGTCATTACCTGAGTTGTGAGCATAATCAGGAGTAAACATCACTAATTAATCTACCTACCAGCATCTAGTTTTGAAATGGCATATCTGGTCAATCCATTGAACCTGTAGAGTAAATCCATCTTGACAAAGCATGAAATTTTTCTTCTTTAATGTCAGAGAAACTCTTAGAATGAAAATCAGAAACCAGCACGTACTTCAAAAATTGCTCACAAGGAGGCCAAAATATTAACAGCATCATCAGATGCCCAGGAACGTGAATTGGACTCACCGGATTAGAACTTCGGACTTGTGATTATCTTTCAGCTTTCTCACAGCAACGGACAACAAATGTTCCAATCCAGACAGGCCCTGGTGAAGGAATTCCTATAGTGGGCTCGATCCTCAAACAATGATGAACGAGTGCACAACAATGCAACAAGGTATCTTGAAGAAAATGTCACTTCAGGTTAATCACCGAATTGCTTTTGATCACGATCTACAGGACAATAAAATTTGTCACGTACACTCAGACCCAGGAAGGAAAAAAACAGGAGAAAAGGAACAATCCGATGAAATAAAAGGTAGAGAAAGCAAGTCCACGGGTAATCTGAGCCTCCTCCCCAGAGGACGGGGAGAAAGAAAACAGAAAACTATTCCTTTTCTACTCATATGTTGTAGTAGAGTTTCTATAGCATCCCCAAAATCTGCAGCATCTAGGATGAGGGAATCTACATATTGCATCTACATCTAGCAAAAAATTTAAAGAAAATAAGCCCTGGCTGAAGGAGAAAGGCAGGTCGTGGTAAGAACACAAAAAAATAAAAAAAGAAGAAGAAAGAAAGGTCCACGGATGGACTTGAAATCTGTGATTCTGAATCCAGAAAAGGCAACGTGATGAACACAGCACAGACGGAGAGCGGCGGACCCCTTCCCTTTCTTTCTCTTTCCTCGCTGGTTCAGCCGATAGCCCCAAAGAAAATTTAGAACGGAAAGGGAAATCAAGGGCACATCTCCGAAACGATGAACGCGACGGGAAAGATCTTGCGGACGACGGATCATGAGTCCGGAAATCAACAGAGGATGGGGAAATCTACCCCAGAAATTGAGAGAGGAATCTATCGAGCGAAGAGCCAAGAGAAACGCGAGCACATGTATGAGAAGACGAGGTTTTTACAACAATTCGCGATAGGAAGGATCGAATCCCCCTCTTCCCCCTTCCGTCGGTCCCCTCCGGCCCTCTTTCCCTCCGTTGTCCGCCAAAAGGCTCCCTCTCGATACGGCACCAATCCGTTGACGAGGAAACCCACCCTCTTGCCCCTCTTTCGGTTCTGGCGTGCTCTCCCCCCTCTCTCCTCCCCTCCCCTCCCCTCCCCTCTCCTCCCCTCTCTTATACCTTCGCCCTTCGGCTGAAGATCTCGCCGAGGAGACAGAAACCGGAGAATGGAACCACCGTAAAAACACGCCTTCCCATGACTCATTCACGTTTATATACGTGTAATGTCGTCGACATCGTGGCCCCGCCCTCTCTCTTATTTTGTTACTGCGGCTCACGTTAACCGCCGCCAGTCGGTGGAGCCTAGTGGGCCAGAAGGCAGTCCACGCGCGAGTGACAGTCCGACCCAATTAACCCATTATCCACTAATTCGAACTGGGCTTGAGCCCCGCCCAATAATTATAAAAGCTTCCCCCATTATAACGGCCCAATAAATCCACCGGCCCAGAACGATCTAGAATCCTTTCTCGGGATCGAGGAAATGCAACTTGGCCTTTTATTATTGGGCCAATAAGTGGGCCGTTAATAAATAATGGCCCAGTAGAGGGATCCACTCTGGGTCCCGGGCTTCCCGTGCGATCCAATAGCGAGGTCGAAGGTGATCGCGGGTCGGTTTCTGAATAGAAACACGAGGAAGAAGCCCATGGGCCCATGGGGTGTGGGAAACGGTGGGCCGGTAGAAGAATCTCGAAGATCCCTACTTGGAAGAAGGCCACACGCCACCCACCGTGGACCCTTGGAACGCGTCAGCTCCTCACCGTCTCTCTCTCTCTCTCGCTCGCTATCAATCTTAATTAGTCCAGGCGGCGACCAAACGAATGCCAAGTGGGCAACTGCGGCCAAGTGGCCGGAGACCGGTCGGCGCTGCGCGTGGAAGAAGATGCAGCCGCAGTTCCTGATCTTCTCCTTCCCGGCTGCCGCGAGGTTTCCAAAGAAAGAGAGAGAAACAGAGGAAGGAAGCGAACAAGGGGGAGAGTGGGTGGAGGAGAAGACGAAGAGCGACGTGCAAGTGGGAAAGCAAGAGGATTTGTCTGGTTCTTGACATAAAAGTATGCGGGGAAGGGGGGAGAGTGAGGTCTCGCCGTCTCATTCTCTCCCCCCACTTAGTCGCCGTCTGTTAGCATGTTTACAGAGAGAGGAGGAAGTCCGCTGCCGGCGAGCGGCGACCAAACTTCCGTTAGGGTGGTGCTAGCGCTGGTGATGCAGGTCGCCGTAGCTGGCGAAGGTGCCGTGGAAGCCGTAGGGGACTCGGCTGGGCAACCTAACAGAGGCCAGCTCGGTCATAGTGGACGCGTCGAGGATCAGGAGCTCTGACTGGTTCGAGTTCTCGTCGTAGACGAAGCCCATCACGTAACCTCTGTCTTCCACGTCGCCGTCGCCGCCGGTGGAGTCCGCCGGCACGAATGTGGGTTCCCCACCAAACCGTCCGTCGCCGTAGGGGAACCGCGTCACGTCGCCGGTGACCAGGTCGACCTTGGCGATGCCGGAGCATTTGGGGAAGGGCTCTGCAATGGCGAGGTACGCAAAGCGGGTCTTCCTCCCCAACCGCCGGCGGTCGACCTGGCCGGCCTCTAGGTTGGTCTCCGGGACGATGACTCGCCGGGAGGACTTCCCGGTGGTGGGGTTGAGCCGGATCTCCGAAAGCACGCTCCTGAAAGGCTCGCTCCGGCGATCGGAGAAGAGCGCATCCGGCGGGGACATGCAGGAAGCGATGACGACGATGGTGGCGGCGCCGCCGCCGTCGGCCTCCTCCTCCCATGCGTTCCACAGGTGGAAGCAGAAGCAGTCAGGCACGTCTACCCAGCGGATGGCAGACTCATCGTCGCCGTACTTGGGGAGGACGCCGAATCTGGCCCGTTTTTGGGGATCGTGGCGGAGTGGGGACTCCCCGCGAAGCATCTGCGGGAGCTCGAAGACAACCTGGTGGTCGGGGATGATGGTGTAGTTCTCGGTGATGGCGAAGTCGTGGATCATGGTGGGCTTCTCGAGGGAGACGGCCACATCGGGGGACTTTGCACCGGAGGGGCTAACCCGAAAGGCCCTCAGGTGGGGCTTCGCCACTACGTCGTAGGACAGGGAGAAGAGCTCGCCGGTGACCGGGTCCATCTTCGGGTGGGCGATCATCGACGACTGGAGCTCGCCAGCGAAGTCGTAGCGGCCGACAGTGTGGAGGTCGCCGTCGGCGGTGATGCGGAGCTGGTAGGGGAGGTCGTCCTCCGACATGGCGAGGAGGCGCCCGTCGAAGTAGACGAGCCCTGCATTCGCCACGCCCACGCCGGCGGCGGAGTTGACGATGCCGGCGGCGGCGCGCAGGTGGAACAGGACCAGCCGGGCCAGGCCGGAGATTCCGTGGAGCTCGCCGACGGCCTTGGGGAAGACGGCCCGGCCCAGCGCCGCCTCCTGCAGGAGCCGGCTCGTGCGGGTGAAGCGGCAGCTGTAGATGGCCGTGTCGGGGCCAGTCAACGATACGGCGTGCACCATGCCGTCGCCGTCGAAGAGGTGGTGGCGCCCCGCGGGAGGGAGCAGGGGGTTGGCGCCATTGCGGACGTAGACACCGCGGAGGTCGTCGGGGATGCGCCCCTGCACCTGGAGGTCGCGCCGCGGCGGTGACTCCGCTACTGGCGCGAAGTTACCGGCGATCTGTACCGCCGGGTCGACGGTAGAGGTGAGCGGCGGCCCCTTCGCCTCCAGCTCCGCCACGACCTTCCTCTCTAGGGCGTCCAAGGCCGCGGCGGCCAGCTTTTGGAGCGGGTTCAGCCGGCGGCGGACGGCCACCACCGGTGGAGGCGACTGAGCCGGGTGGCTCGACAACGCCGGAACAGCGGGTGGTGATTTGGACAAGATGGAGACCGAACAGAACCTCTTCTCCGCCGCCTCCGCCCCCGCGACATTGGGAAGCTGCAGCAACGGCTGTCGTGGGACAGTGGCCGCCATATTTACTCCCCAAGCTACTTCGAAGGCTCCCCTGGTTTTCACGTGGGACGAGATCGTATTTACATAGAAGAGAGAGACAGAGTGAGAGACAGAGACAGAGGCACAGAGGAGAGCGAGGAGGCGTTATGGTACGGATCGAAGAGACCATACGCACAGTATAAATATGAGAAGTGGGAGGTGTCGCGATGCCGACGTTGTCCGACGTGGGGGCTGGTAGCACGTGGATTTCATGGGTGACTGCTGGGCTGTGGACGAAGGATTGGGAGGCCAGCTGCCACGCATGCGCTAACAGGTGGGTCTGGGAATAATCTAAACAGAGGAAGATCAGGTAGGGTTATCCCCTGACCCGGCGTCCTCCCCCGGCCCCGCGCTGACCGCCCTCACCCACGCCGGTTTCCGGCCACCGGCGGCGCCGCCGCCAGACGGCAGAGCAGCATCTTGCCGGCGAGCGGAGTTTTTAATCGCCGGAATTGCGACCTGACGCGGGACCTGCCCCGCCTCTGACGAGCGCTCCGGCGAAGCCCCAGCTGCGCAGGCCGACACGCGGGCATCCTCGAGGAGGCCAAGGAGAAGCCATTAAAAACCCAGCAGAGTAGACGAAAGGAGCCATTAACAATAGCGAAATATCTGTTGCCTCTGGTTCCCCTCTGAAGCAAGAAGATCACCGGAAGAAATCTCCGACCACCGGCAGGGGGAACAGGGTGAATAAGAAAATGTCCGCCCTATCACCATCGGGTCGACCCATAACAGCTGTAGCGACGCCGGCAAGATCGTCGGGTCTGGGGGATATGGAGGTTGACTAGGAAGCCGGCGAGAGAATAATATTCATGGGCGTGGGTCGTCCGGCCGCCCGGCAACGCAGAATAACATTTACAGCCACGAAAGCAAGAACCAAACCACCAAACCACCAACCCACTTTCCTAAATGGGGCAAAAACGGATCGACTGATCTCGGTCGATCGAACTCTCTTTTCTCCTCCCCGTCAGTTCTTTCACCAGCGCTCCACTCTCCGGCGTTCAGGTTCCTGGATATGCTAGACGCGTCGTACACCGAGCTTGCAGGTTGCTGCCATGGAAGCAGAGAGACGAAGCGTGTATGCATGAAACACAGCGATGGAGACTGAACCCAGAAGACATTTATTTGCATGATCTGGGAGTTCATTAATGGAGGGAAGAGAGGAGACTCACGAAGGCCTCTGGCGTCCGACGTCCTCATGATCCTGAGCCTCTTAATGGAGCTCACGAACATCCTAAGGAACAGAGGATGCGTCAGTCTTCTGAGGGGGCGGAGCTTCCCGGAGGGAGCCCACTGAGAGACGGTCGAGAAAGCAATCTAAGGACCTCAGAGGATTCCTATGATTTTCACAGTTCCTCGCTAGGATTGGTCCATGAAGTAGGGTATAAGATTTGTATACCCCCAGGGGACGTCCCCGACGAGCAACCAGTCGCCGTCTTTGTCCTCGTAGGTGAGCACGAAGTCGGAAGCGCCGTCCAGGAGCTTCAAGGTCCTCCTGCCGCCTACCATCAAGAAGCAGAGAGAGAAAGAGAGAAGTCTCATTCCTGAGTCGAAACTGATGGGGAAGAGAGAAGGGCGGCAGTGACGGGCGCGCACTGGGTAGATTACTGAGGGAGCAGTGCTCCTCGAACATGTCCTCTAGAGCCAGAGCTAGGGTTTTGTAGTCGCAGTGGGAGCTAAGGTCCACTTTCCTGCCGATGGGCATCCCGTCCATCTTGACCTTCACAAAGCGAGAGCCCCCGTGGGGCGGCCCATTCTTTGCCTGATCCTTGCCGGTGGGGTTCTGCTTGACGGCGCTATGGTGGGCGGCGGCGACGGCGGCGACGGCGTCAGCGGAGGCCTTCTTGCGGCGGTCGTCTTTGCTACCGCCGTCGTCGGAGTTGTTCTTGGAGTTGTTCATCAGGGTGTTGATCCTGTAAGCTCTCACCGGCGGCCATCCCACCACCTGGCTGCTCAGAAGGCCAACGGCAATGAGAGATGGAAACGATTAGGGCAGATCAAAAGAAGAAGAAGAAGAAGAAGCAGGGGAAATCACCTGGCGGGGAGGTATTTGCCCGGGGGGGAAGCAGAGTCGGCAGCCCTCTTCGTCCCAGAGACGCCAGCGGCGCCGACTCTTCCTCCTCCACCAAGGTTGGGGGATGAAGCAGACGACGAGGAGGAAGAAATGGGAGAGCCCCTTGAGACCACAATGGACGGGAAGTCCTTGGCTGTGAGTATCCGACAGTAGTCTCTCCACGGAACAGCTTCCCCACTCCCGCCACCACCGCCGCCGCCGGGATGGCTGGGGACGGCGGCGGCGGCCTTGGTGGCGCCAAGGCTGAGCCCCAGCTCCAGATCCGCCTCATTTTCCCCATCATCTCTGCCGCCACCTCCCCACCCGGCCTCTCCTTCGTTCTCCCCACCCACCAGCCTTCTTGCTCCCCGGGTCACCTCAGCTGGGTAGGAAGAGGACGCATCGGAGGCAATAATCCTGGCGCAGTAGTCCTGCTCCCCCGCCGCCTCCACAGCCTCCTCCAGCCTGCGCGCCATCGACATGGACCCGCCGTGCAGCGAAGGAACAGAAGGAGAAGAGCTGAAGACGCCGGATGCCGGACTGGAGGAGGGGAATGAGAGGGTCGAACCCAAAAGAGAAGGCCCTGCTGTGGAGATAGGGAGGGAAGGAGGGAGGAAAGAGGAGGAAGGTGCCCGCCGAGCTGCTGCTGCTGCTGCTGCTCTTCGCTTGCTTGCTGCTGCTGCTACAGTTCTGACGACGATGCTAAATTTTGTCTTTTTTCACAGGGCACGCTCCTGAGAGGGCTTCACTTCAGTCCAGCTCTGCGCCGCGGCGTACAACGCCAGTCCGGTCCGCCACCAGATGTTGTCGTCGGTGCCTGGCGCAGTGCGCCGCGGCGCAGAGGAGACGGAACCACCTGCTTTGAGGATGGAGAACATGTCGGAAGTTCTGGGGGCAGACATTAAACCCGAAGCCCTCGCCTCTGCCAACAAGCCAAGCCTGCTCACGTCCTCTCAAATCACAAGGAACATAGGGAACATCTCACGGACGGTAGATCGAAGGGAAGGACCCATTCTGGGGACGCGTGCAAGCCCTCCGATGGCCAAAAGGCCATGTCAGGAGAGTACGGACAATCATCGTAGGGGCATCATGAGAAATCGCATGGCTGGCACCATCCTGACCGATGATAGATCGACGCGACCAAAAAGCACGTGGGCGCAAATATCGTAAACTGCCGTATAAATGGGCCAAGCCTGAACTTGGAAATAAAACGGGCGGCCTGATGCCGGCCCAATCCAGCAGCCATTCGGGAAAAAGAGGGGTCTCCTATGTGGGTTCTTGTATGGTAGCCACGTGGCAAGAGAAGCTCTATATTCCCGGCTCTATAACCGTCCCTCTCCTCCCACTTTTCGGGTCGCGAGTCTACCAGCGGAGGAACGGGCGGCGGCGCGGCACCCCACAATGCTCCCTCGGGCGTGCCGCCACTGTTCCCTTGTAGAAAGCTTTCCGTTGGCGTGGCGGTGACCGTGGTCAAACCGCCGTCTCCTTTCCGGCGTGATCTACTGCCGAAAGCTGTCTCCGGCATGAACCTCGGCGCTCATGCCGAGAGAGAGAGAGAGAGAGAGAGAGAGGGCTACTTGGGAACCGCTCTCCCCCACCTGTATCCCCGCATGAATCGCCAGCGTCAATGGCTCGCCACGCTTAGCGAGCTGGCAGGGCCCGGCAGGAGGCATGGCTTTCGAGCACGAGCCGACAGTAGAGAGAGAGAGAGTCAACGGAGGGAATCGTAGGAATAGTAAAGCTGCTTGTCTCCATCGGTAAGAATGAACTGTGCGCCTGTTACAACGGACTATGCCGTATGCCCCGATCGCAGGGGAGCATTCCAGGCCGTGGTAAAAAGAGACCCGAGACCCAGGGGAGGACGACGGAGAAAAAAAGAGAGGACGGACCATGGGTAGAGAGAGAGAGAGAGAGAGAGAGGAAGAAGAAAAACCAGCAAACAGCAGTGAGAGAAGAACAACAACAACGCTTCCGCACTCTGCCCCATGACGACGGCGTTACAATGGAAGCGCAGGCGGAGGTTGAGAAGAGATTTGGAGGAATAGGAGGAGGACGACGACGATGGGTGGTGGCAGTCTTCTGGACGTCTGAAATAAATCGAGCAAAAAAACCATGGAAGAGGATGACGGGGATGATGAATGATGATGGCTCCTGCTCCTCCCTCTTCGATCTTACTTACCCCCCTCGCCGCCGGCGAGCTGAGGGGCTTAGGCTGGGCTAGCAGTGGGAATTCCGCTGGCAGGCGAGGACACCCGCCGACGAGGTGATGGAGCCCACCATGGCGGAGGACTTGGCGCCGAGGCTGGACGCCCTCGAGTAGCTGCCGGAAGCGCCTGCTCCGGAGGGCGTGAAGTAGGCCCCGTTCAATAGGAGGTCGCCCTCCGACCGCCAGTTCCAGCCCTTCCATGCCGCCGACGGCGTGTCGACCCTCTTGGTCACCTGCGCAGAGAAAGAAGAGGTGGTGGTGAGGGTTTTTAGAGCAGAGGAGAGAGGCGGCGCCGCCGGGGGGAGCGAGAGGGGTGCGCATACCTCCTTGGCGAACGGGTTCGTCGGAGCGAGGTATCTGTTGCCCTGGCTGTTGATGGTCGGGTTGGCGCTGCCGCCGATGGCGTACATCTCCCAGTGAGTGTAGTCGTTGTTCACCACGTGGAAGTAGCCATGTCTGCATCTGTACGCGCATCGCCCCCATTTCGATTCGATGCCCATATGTCAGTCAGGCAGTCAGGCAGGCAGGCAGAAAGTTTCGTTCGTTCGTTCGTATTTTAGGGTAAGACTCTAGTGAATCCAGAAGAGTTAGTAGTAGTACCTGGGCATTCTTTGGATAAGGCCCTCGCCGAAATGGTTGAAGGCGATGGTAACCTGCATCGACTTGTCCTTCTCGTAGGAGTCGCTGTGGCCCAGCAACATCACCTGCAGCACGCAGAGATTGTTATCACGGATCAGCAAGCAGCCTGAGAGAGAAAAAACTAGAGATCTCAATGAGCGAGGAAGGCAGATGGGGTTACCAACCTCGTTGTGGTGGGTAAAGTAGTTGTTGGAGATGGTGACGGCAGTGGAGCCCATGATGGCGTCCACGAGGCCGTCAGCGCAGTTGGAGAGGGAATTGTGGTCGACCCAGACGTGGCTGGAGCCGAAGATGGAGATGGCGTCTCCATCGGCCATGGTTCGCCACCCATAGTGGGATGGCGAGCTGCGGACCATGGCGTTGCCGGTGCGCTTGCAGTCGTGGATGTGGAGGCCGTGGATGATCACGTTGGTCACGAACTGGATCGTGATGCAGGCGCCGTTGGCGATGTGAACGTCAGCACCGCGGCCGTCGATGGTCTTAAAGCTGTTCATGATCAGCTCCTGCTTGAGGGTGATGACCATGTCGCGCTTAAACACGATCCACAGGGGCTCGTCCTGGATCACCGCGTGCCGCAGTGTGCCGGGGCGGGGGTTGACGGGATCGTCGTCGCCGGCATCGGAGACAACGTAGAAGCGGCCGTTCCGCCCGCCGATGGCGTTGCGCCCGAAGCCGATCCCGCAGTCTGCCAGCCGCCGGCGATTCTTGTGCCAGTTGGGGTCGCACCGCCAGCAGTCGTCGATTGGGTTGCCGGTGCCGCACGAGAGGAACCCCAGCGACCGGCGCGCCGTGCTGTTCTGTATCGCACTGCTCAGAGGGAAGAAGGCCACCACCACCCATCAGCAACCACGGTGAAAAAACAGGAAAAGAAGAAGTCATGAAAATTCTGGTACTGTAGAAGATCATGAAAAAGCACCGACCACATTCAATCGGAGTTTAGCTCCCTACGGCTACGCTCACGTCGGCAGTGACCCCCCCCCCCCTCCCGGCACCAAACAATGCATGTGAGGAGTAAATGAGAAGAAGGTGACGAGATGGAATGGGGGACGGGAAGCGTAAGAAGGTTGGCCGGAAGCCAGCGGAATAACCCAACGACGCCGGCGACCGAAAATCGAGAAACGGACGGGTGAGAGAGGAAAGCGGCGAGGAAACATCGCAACGTAACGGTGGGAGTTACTGCGATCATGAGACGGTCGGGGCTGGCGGGGAGAGGGGGGGGAGGGGGAGTGAAAGCGGACACAGTACGAGCTGAAGCAAGAACAAGACGGTCGTGAGAGAGGGCTGGGTGACCAGTGGACACAGAAGGAAAAGATGGATACGGGCGTAACATGCTCCCGGTCATCAATGCGCGGAGGACTTCACGTGAGAGCATTGATGGATCCCAGCCGTACCAGATCTCAACCCTTCTGAGAGAGGGAGAGACTTGACAGAGAACTTGCCCCCCCAAACCTCCGTCAACCCCACCCGGCAGCAGATCAACAATACGACTAATTAATTAATGAGGCTGGCCGGCGGAGTGTGTGCGACGGCGAGCATATGCGGATCACGGCGGGGGGCTGGCTGAAGAAAAGAGAGAGCAGATCACGGAGAGCCGGTCGACAGACCCATCTCCGCCGGTGAGACTTCCATTCCAGAGGGATGATGAAGTCAAACGAAAAAGGTTGAGAAATCAACTGCTGGGCGAGATTGAGACGGGTGGTCGTCAACCAAACCTACCCCATTAAATCCTTGAAATGGGTATCATCAGCGGAGGAGAGCGCTTACGTATGCACGTGGGAGACGATCAGTTCCGGATCTTCGACGGCGCCGACCACCTCTTCCTGCTGCTCGAAGACTGGTTGCCTGTGGCAAGCCCCGTGGGATATCAGGGAAAATACCAAAATATCCTCCATCTAACGGATTCTCGTTAGACCCAAGGTACGGGAATCCGCATTAATATCATGCGGTTTTCTCGGGAAGCGAGAAATCGGCTGTTGCTCTGAGGTGAGCGACCCGCTCGAGGCGGGTCGTCCACAGAGCCCAAAATCCGTCGGAGATGGAAAGAGGGGGAAGGAGGGATAGAGCATTCGAGGCAAGGCAACGGTGGGGGGCGGGGAGAAGACGAAGAGTGTACGAATTCAACGGCGGACAATGTGGAAACCAGATCTAGATGGGAAGGGAAACGTTGAAGTCGGAAGGAGGCCTACTAAACGGTCTGGATTGGACGAAGCATGTTTACAGAAAGATAGAAATAAAGACTCGATTTACGGAAAGGTCGCGGTGGGACAGGGCGATAGTACTCACCACTGCGCGGCGGAAGAAGTGTCGCTGCCCGACGGATTTGTTGAGATCCTCGTCCCTGAAGCTCCTTGTCTGCGCGGGGTTAGTGGCAAAAAGAGTGATCAGCAGTCAGACCTTCAAATCACCGAAATGTGTGAGCTCGGATCCGTGGAATGCTGATCGAATTAGTCGAGATCTGTGAGCGCAACGGGTCAATTATCCCAACTCCACTACTGAGGTTGTTAGGCACTTCATCAACGATAAAAAAATAAAAAACAAAAAGAGACGCCTCAGAGGAAGAATTCCGGATTAGAATATTAGCACAGGCGACAGGTGTTGACGGGACGAATTCCAAGAACGAGTGACAAAGCACTACTAACTGCCTCCCTAAAAAGCGTAAGGAAAAGGAGAACGAAGCCCCTAAAGACATTAAAGAACGAATAGTCTCCCTCCTTTTACTCGACGAGAAGCAGTCATTGTCGGGGAAAGCCTACCTGAACACCCCACAAGACCGCTCAAATAATCTCCCGCCTTTTTATTTCACCAAATTAACATTCCGATCTACGTCGGGGAATCTCTCCCGATGCTTCTTCCACACCCTTCGTTCCAATGCTCTACCCGGCACTTTGACAATTGCTCGACTACTCACTCTCCCAAACAAACCGCGTAATATAACACAGCATAGCATACTTTCACGAACATTTGCAGAGACCAGAAAAGAAAACCAGCAGAACAGCAACAATCCACCGACGAATCAGAGAAGCTAGAACGAAATGTACCTTGCCTCCACGGCCCTTTCGTATCCCATCCATCCAATGCCGCCGACCAGCACCAAAACCAGCACCACCGAAGCCGTCGAGGACCAGCGGAGAGAGGCCGCCATTCCCGCTAAAGCTCCCTCCCTCCCTGTTCTCTCACCTGCCCTCCCCTCCCCGACCCCCCGTCCCCTCTCTCACAAGAGCAGATCAGAAGTGGCAACAGAGTTTTAATGCACAGACAAGGAACATATAGCGAGAGAGAGAGAGAGAGAGAGAGAGAGGGAGAGAGAGAGGGAGAGAGAGGGCGGGCGGCGCGGTGGAGAGAAGGGCGGAGCTAGACGAAATAATCTCACACTGAAACCTCCGTTTTATAGAACGCTCAACGTCGCTGGGCCCCACCGGGTCTCCCCGGCCCTAACCATGGTTAGTCACTGCTAACCCCCGGCCTAACCGCCACCAACGGATTGGGCGTCCGCCACTCGCAACTGTGACGCTGGCACGTGCGGAAGTGTCGGCTCGTCACGTGCGACCTCCAATCTCCTTTACTGTTCCCGACGCGATCATGCAGCGCCATGCATTTACTACTTACCAGCCCCCTCGCCTTCCATCATCACGCGTGGGACACTTTTCTAGGCCCACGGATTGGACGGCCACAATCGTCCCCGGCAAGCGTGCCCTCGTTGTTGCCGTAGGATCATCCTGTCCACTCCCTAGACATCCGGCGGGAGTTCAGGGGAGACGGAGGCGGTCGCTTCCGCCCTCCGCGAGTCCACCACCACCGTTCGATGGGAGGCGATCGGACGGTTCTGCACCGCTCCTGGGCGGCCCACAACGGTCGTTCCGGCCCGGTCCGGAGCCACCGGGCTGACTTTGTCCGACGCCGGCGCCAGCCGCCAAAGCCAACGGTCGTTCCGCCCGTTGGCCCGGCCCGTTTGCGCCAGCGTCTCAGGTGGGGCCTCTCATGGTCTGCCAACGTGTCAGTAGACTCCGGTAAAAATGGAAAAGCTTTGGGACACGTCAAACGATTTAATAAATACGACCATATAAAAAATTAAAGCGCAGTATTTTAAGTTTCTGGGGGTTCGATGAAAACCGCGGGCCCCACTTGATCGGCTGACGGTGACGGCGCAGCGGCTCACATGGGCGGGCCGACGATCTAGTTTTATCCTATCCTATTCCGCCGAAGAATATTGTATTAAATAATTATTAATATTATATTTATAGTATTATTGAGATGATGAGGGATGTTTATCACGTTGAGTATGATTAAGGCGATGATGATGGGGACGGGTGATCCTCCCCTGTGATCTCGAGGAGCGGCCGCGGGAATCTGGGGGTCGCCGTTGAAAGTGGGGAGGGGGGAGAATGGGAAGCCCGTGAGGAGGAGCTCCCACCGCCGTGGCATTGACCGGCAATAATGGCGGTCGCCGGCGAGGGAGCTTTCATAGAGTTAATGGGGCTTCTCCCGGTTATTATTCTACGCTGCCACCGGCGAGGACATGCCCTCTACGGACGCAAGGACGGTCATTCGTCCCTCTCTCTCTCTCTCAGGTGCTGCCACGAGGGGGATAATTCTCCGGGGCGCCGCACACGGGAGAAGCCCCGCCGGCGGCGACTCCGCTGGAGACGAGGCATTAAATCCGCAGTATAGCGTTTGCATCTCCGGGGAGCTCGAAGGAGCCCTGTAAGAGGGGAGCTCCGAGAAGAAGAGGGAGCGGAAGCTTTTAAACTATGGGGCGGGGTGGCGGGCGGGAAGAGGAGAGCTCCGCCGTCGGTGTGGGCTTCGCCCGCACGTGGACGGTGGAGGAGGGGACGCGGGATTCCCGGCGAAGCAACTCACCGCCCCGTCGGCGGAGAGAACACGTACTTGGAGGTTTTTGCGTCCTCGCGAGGGAGGAGGAAGAAGAAGCTTCCCTCTTCCCCCGGCCGACGAGGTTCCACGTGGTGCACGGCGACTGCCGTCGGGGCCTGTTCTCTCTCTCTCTCTCTCTCTCTCTGGTATTAAAGATCTGCCTCGGCAAGTGGAACCTTCCTTGCTTTACAAGTGTGATTAAGCTCAGAGATGGCGACATGGGGAGGGGAGAGAGGAGGGGGTTTGGAAGAAGGCGCAGAGAGGGAAAGAGGTGGGGAGCAGGTGGGGGGAGAGAGATGATAGTGCATGTGTGGCGAGGGGAAGAGAGAACGGGGAAGGAAGGTGGCGGGCACATCGACATGAAAAGAAATAAAGCCGGCACAGACAGAGTGATAGAGAGAGAGAGAGAGAGAGAGGGTGCATATACATGGTGGAAGAGGAGAAGAGTGAAAGAGAAGGGAAGAGATGCAGCATGTGACTGTACCCGTGCAGAGAGATAGAGAGAGATAGAGAGAGAAGGGAGGGGGCGGGTGGCGGGTACACCAACGTAAAAAGAAAAGGCAAGGGAGCGAAAGCGGGAGGAGAGATAGAAAGAGAGAGAGAGAGGATGGGTTTAGCCCCACAATCGCATTAGCTTCATTCTTTAGCTCATTTATCGTCGCCTTATTTAATCCCGTTGAAAAAACTGCCACGTCGAAAGCGTTGACATTCCATTTACCGTTCCCTTCGCCACGTCGATCCGTCTCCATGCTCTCTAGAGTGCGGCCCGGCCCGTCGAAGCCACCGAGGGCCGCCATTGAAGACGGAGAAGGCGGCCATGGCAACCCCCCGGAAGCTCTCTCTTTAATGCCTCCAAGGCGACGGCGGCCCAGCAGCTTTCCCATAACAGCCCCACTGTTCACCCCGCCGCCGCGTATTTACGGCCGCGACGGGGGAGAAGGGCGCCGGCGTCGGTGCGAGGTCGCGCCGCCGAATCTTCGCCTCTCCCGCCGGCGCCGACGGCCGTCCCCTCCGGCCCCCCATTCCGCCGCCGGGCCGACGAGACAGATCCCCGTTTGGTCGGCGGCATTATCTTCTCCGGGGGGCGAGCCTCCACGTGGTGCCATGTGCTCTGCTCCGAAAGCACGGCCCCATGTGCCACCGGCAACGTGGGCATGTTCATTCATCCGCCGCCGTCGCCCTTCGTCGGCTCCGCCGTCTCCCCGCAGCTTTTATTTATCGCTGCTTTAAATTAGGGCTCGGTTGGTTTCTTGAGGGGGGGGGGGGAGGACCGTACTCGTACGTCTCTCCGCCGCCGTCCTCTCCGGAAGCAGCGCCGCCGCCGCCCCTGCCGGCGAGGGAGAGGAAGGGAATTCAACGAACCCACTCCTGTGAAGATGATTCATTCTCTGTGCGTGGACATACGAAAGGGAAAAAAAAATCGATGATTCTTTGGCGGGTGCCGCATCCATTTTTGTGTATTTATTTACAGGTACAGGGCCGAATCATATCTGGCTACGAGCTTGCAGTAGAGACCTCGGTCTGTGCCGGGGTGGGCCCGAAGACTAGGGAGGGCTTGACTTCGGGATCACCGATGACTTGGGCTATCCTGACGCCCAAGTCGGGGATGATCGAAGCCCGGGTCCGGCGGGTGACGGTCATCTTCAGGCCCTCGGTGGTGTGGATGGTGGCTCCGGTGGTCATCTCCACCTGCGTTTTTCAGGGTAAAAACTACTCTAGTTAACGCAGCCGGCGATGGAGGGGAAGGAGGGAGGATGGGCTTACCGGTGGCGCTCCGGGGGCCATATGGAAGTCAAACTGCCGCACCAGCATAGCCACCGCCACTATGGCCTGTTGTAGAGAGAGAGAGAGAGAGAGAGAGAGAGAGAGAGGGAGAGAGGGAGATTAGGGGAGACCCAATTAAGGAAAGGTTTTAGCTCCACACTGGCTCGATCTTCACCTCGAAGGAGGCAAACATGTCCCCGATGCACTTCCTCGGCCCTCCGCCAAACGGCAGGTAGCTGAGAAGGCAGATGGAAGTCAGCTGGAAGTCAGCTGGAATTCAGCTGGAAGAGGGAAGAACCCGGTCTTTGATTTATTTTTTTTAATTTTAAAAAAAGAAGAAAGAAAAAAACCTGAAATTCTGGTTGATCTCGTTGGGATTGGGACCGTCCAGCGGCCACCTCTCGGGATTGAAGGACTCCGGCTCGGCCCAGTGATTGGGGCTCCGGTGCAGGTTCCAGACCGAGATAAAAATGTCCTCCCCCCTGTGATTAATTACATCAACTTAGATCGATCTCCGAAGAAATGAAAATATTCCAGGAAAGTGGGAGTTCTCGCCGGATCGACTGCCCCACCTCTTTATGGGGTACCCTCCAAGAACATCATCCTTGATGGATCTGCGAATCAGAACCGGCGGCTGTGGGTAGAGCCTGAGTGACTGCCGAGAGAGAAGATCCATTTTAGTCAACGGGATTTTTCAAAGAAAGAGAAGAAAAGGAGGAGTTGACCGCGCCCACTTCACTGATGACGCGGCTGGTATACTTGAGCTTTTTCATGTCTTCCATGGTCGGAAATCGGTCTCCCAGTACGCTATCCACCTAGAAAGAAACCATGGCCCAAGATCTTAGACCCATGCTGCAGATATTCCCACATCTATGTAAATACTAACCTCTTCTTGGAGCTTGGACATGACGGCGGGCTCCTGTGGACAATGGGCACATAATTTCTGTCAGCTGTTCCACCAGCGTTATATTCTGACGTAAAAAAGAATATAAGAATTTTGATTCGGTGGATATGGGGCTCGTTCATGCGGTCAAACAGTTGACCTGCTGTTCTTTGCACGGCAGAAGGAAGGGATCTTAAGCAAATCTACCAGTAACATACGTCCCAGTAGTTATATATTACATGGTTTCTATAGAGAAGCAATCTGTTCATGGGAAGAGTAAATCTCACACACGATACGGAACGAGTTCATGACAAATGGAAAAGAGAGCATTGAGTTGACCGTGCCCGTTCAAGATTCCCACTCTGCTGCTGGCAAAAGGATCAAGGTTGACTCAGCAGTGATCAGGGGACAAGAAGAGAGACAGGCAACACTCCCTGGTTTCTCCTTCGTGGGATGCAGAGATCCAATCGATATGATCAAGAGGTGAATATCAGATGAGTGGTAACAGATGATCATCCATACAGGAGAGGGGACTGGGTGTGGTACATTTTCAGAAATGGCATGATCTGAAGTACACCACGTTTCACCGTCTGAATGAAATCATCCGAAATTATTCAACTATTTCAGTAAAATTGCTGTCAGAGAGATAAAGGGAAGTGAAAATCAAATAACTCATGCTTGATAACCTTAAATGGATGAAAAGCGTACCTTGGAAAGAAGATAAAAGGTCCAAGTCAGCACTGCTGCAGATGTCTCATGACCAGCTATAAGCATTGTCATTAAATCATCACGGAGCTGTTTGCTTGAAACCTAGTAAGAAGAGGGAGTTCAGCTGACTGAGATTTACGTTCAAATGTATACGATTTTAGGGTGGGTTGAACTATAAAATGTGAAGGGGAATACATCATCGCCTGATGCCAATAGAAAGTGAAGAATGCTGGGATCTTGCTCATTCATGTATTCCTCGTGAAACTGAAGCTCCTCCTGATCTACCATTTTCTGCATAGCAAATGAACAAAAAATCGAAAACTGAGAACAAATACAGTCAACGGTTGAGATAAGCAAGCCACACATGTCGTCTCTATACCCATTTAGAAACCAGAAGCTGACGTTTCATTCAAAGACAGAAGCATGCACGACTACTATATAGAAATACAGAAAACAAACAAACTTTCAGAAATAAGTTATTATCCTTGTCAAAGAAACTAACAGTCGGGAAATGAAACAAGAAACTAAAGGAGGAAGGGGTAAAAAAACCCATTGGCAAATTTCTTTTGCGTTCCTCTGCAGGTATGTTGAGCCTAAACAGATAATATATTTTAAAACAATATTCAAACCTAATAGCCTTCCAATAAGTCGAGCGCCTTAAACCAGTATTACCAAAACTACACTCACTTGCATGACCTTCTTCCTCGTTGACATTGGGTCATTCACCTCTATCACATTCCCATACAGTTTAGTTCCTTATGTTCATCACAGAGGTTTCGGTTTGGGAAAGGGTATCCGCCAAAGATGGTCCTCAACCTGGTTCCTCTCCCCCCAGAACCCAAGAGAAGCATCCAGACAGTGACACATTTTGTCCCTTTTTAACCTGAAGCTCCGAGAGTAAACTTGATCCCAATTTCTAACAATGTTATCTCAAAATAATAGGGAGGCTAATCTTTTTCTAGATGTCGATTAGGGCTACAGCTGAAGCACAACAATAAATTAATTTAAATTTTGCGGTCAAAAATTTTCAATAATGCGTTACTAAGTGAAAGGCACCCTTTTTAACTTGGAAAATGGAAAGGACGAGTCCAAGTAATAATCAGACTTCAAAGACATTTGACCTATTCTTATGAGCATATAACAAGTGAGAACCAAAAGATCTCGTCATACTCTTATAATGATGAGGTCAAATTTTCCAGGAAAAAATGCCTGTGGCACAGATAAGAGTAGTATTACTAGGGCAAGTTCAGCAATTTTTCAATTAAAACTCTTTCTTGAGAAAACCTCACAGAATTTTCCTGGGTTTAAACAAAATGGAAGACTATCTCTTGATATTGATCAGCGATAGAAGTGAAGAGGGGATAAAATTTATCAAAAAAAGGAAAGAGATGAGAGATGACTGGTATACCTCTGACTGAAAGGTTAAAGAAGAGAGGAAGAAGGTCATCAACAAAACACAACATAGAGTTAGCTGTGGGACCTGCGGTTCACGCAATCTATATAGTCTGAGGACTTTTGTTTTCCCCATAGCAGATATTTAGCATGTTAAAGGTTATGCCTCGATATAATGATGCGAATTTCCAAAACCAATATGTTTATGAAGCAACATATCACAATAAGCAACCATTTAAAGTAGTTTATCATAACTACTGCTCATCGTGATGCCACTTGAACCTACTAAGATTAACCAACAAGGTGTCTAGATTATTTCAACCAGGTTCCGGGTATGATAGAGTAAGCTTTTTTTTCTCTAATTAATCGTACATTGAATGAGGACGAGGTTACCTTGCAGATGGCAATGAGGGAATCAAGATTGTCATTGATCAACTTGAGGGCTATCGAAACCTTCCTCTGCCTAGGTGAAATATCTTTCCATATAGGAATCTCCCAGGTGGGAATAGGAGACATACTTCGCATTTCTGCTTCCCGCAACACAGTGTAAACTGCCTAATCATCAGGCACATGAAAAAATGCATGGTATAGAAAGTCAACCAATGAAAAAGGTTCAGTTAGTGTGAGAATAATCTGACAGAGGATATGAAGAAACAAGAAGATAAATCAGCACCTCAACTATTCCTGTGTCATTTGTCAAAGAATCAAACTCATAGTTGAAGACTGCCTTCCCAATGATATCCAATGTCAAGCGAGAAAAGATGGACTCCATTTCTACATCTTCACCGTTTGAAGCGGCAGAATCCAGCTTCTGGCAGAGTCTATTGGTTGCATTGCAAAAGAGGTGAATCATAGCGGCAACATACTGGAGAGTGAAGGATAAAACCATAAATGAAATATCAGAGAGAAATAATATCCATTTGAGGAAAAATATCAGGATGAAGAAAAATTCCACGCATCTATCAGGTGGAAGGGATCCCATATACAAGTCAAAAGGAGTCAGTTACCTTCTGATGTAATGCTGGAACAACCGTTCTTCTTCTTGCCAGCCATATGTCACCATCGGCTGGTATCAAGCCAGTGCCCATCACGAACTCTAGGATTTCTGCTAGTATTCCCTGCATGAAAGGATTAACCCACATGACACTATTCGATACGAAAAAGAATTAGAATAAGGGAAACAACCGCGAACTTGATCAAGTAGTTGGAAAAACAAGAGAACTAGTACCTTGGAATAGGACTTGGAATTGTCCCTCAGTATATGCTTTGCTATGGCGGGATCCGAGACTATCAGGAACGACTGTTAGCAACAATTGATGGGACCAGTAAGAAGAAACTAACGCTATGTTTTATGGTAAAGATCGACAAATACAGAGGTATAACAATCAGCCATTACTTTCGGACCGAAGACGAGGCGGAAGATCCCGCCGTATGTCAGGAAAAGGTCGTAGAGAGGGATGAAGAAGGCCTGCGCTCCGACAGCAGCCAGTGATCCACTCGCCTGAGGAATTTTCAACACCTTGTCGTTCGTACCCGAAAATAGATCATCGAGGAGTTTCCCCGGAACTCCAAGTTTTAATAGGCCGTTCCTCAACAGAGAAACGAAGCTAAAAATTCCACAGAAAAGATACCACCAGATTCATCGTTAAACAGGAAGAAAAATAAATTGGCCCCAACCAAGGAACAAAATCAACGAGAAAAGACACGTACCCAGACTGCTGAACGGTGAAATCACCAGAGGCGATGCGGGCTGCCAGCTCGGCTCGCCTCTTCTCTTCGAGCAGCCTCTCGACTTCCTTCACGGCCTGGTTCTCCTCGTCCTTTCCAGATTTGTTGGAGGACGAAGAAGCAGAGCAGGAGAGGCTGGCGCGTCGGCGAGCGGACCACATACTTCCACCAACTCCAAAAAAGAACCGTGCGCCATATCACTCAGCACACATCAAACAACAATCGGGAGTATCCATCCCGAGGAATGGCCGACAACAACAATGAGAACCTGAAGAGTATTCAACAGCGGTGCCGCGTCAACGGCAATAAGCAGCAAGCTAGGAGCCGTACCACAATAAGCGCCGCCAGAAGAGTTCCTAGTATGCAGGCCAGGCTTGTGGATCGCCTGGACGTGAGGCAAGAAGAGATTTGCAGAGGCTGCCATTGCAGGAACGGCGACAGATGCTACTGGCAAGCAGATCGGAGGAACTCGACCACCCGAGGAGAACGACTGAGGAGGGCGGAGGGAGGGGAGGAGAGATCCTCGTCGATGAGGTCAAACGAACGAACGGCCTTCTTTCTCCCTTGCCTCGCAGCCGAAACACCGCGATCTTGATAAAATCCCAGCCCAGTGCGCATTGCTGCGTATTCAAACGCAGTACACGTCAAGGAGAGCCTTCCTATTTTTTTATTTACCCTTTATGTGGGCCCCACTCTCTCTCTCTATCTCTCTCTCCGCATGAGTCATGTACGTACGCAAGATCAAAAACTAGGGCGAGATTGTTCTCTTCGTAGCACGCCGTTCTCTTATGGGTCCCCCCACCTGCCGCTCACGTTCAAGAAGGAAAGACATAAGGCGTTGATTGGTGATGACTCTGCTTCTTCCTTCTTCCTCCCCATCCCGCAGATGAGGAGGGAAACCTCTCACTCTACCTGGTCAGGCATTTCAGTGTAGGAGATGGGAGATTACAGGACATGACTTGCGATCCGGGAAGAACTGGTGGATCACTACGCCCTCCGCATTTTCACTCTGAGGGACATCTCCTTGTAGGAGACCCCGACCGTCGACTTCCGCTGCGGCCGCCCGGAGATCGACATCGGATGCGAAGAGGACGAGGAATCTTGCTTCGAGGGATCCGGAGGGCTACGGAAATCTCTGTCATCTTCGACCTTCACCTCTCGGGAAGGGGAGCTCGAATCGGATGAAGCAACCGCCGGATCTCTTCGGGAGCTTTGGGCTTCGTCCCTTGGGGAATTCCCCTGTGAACTGCCAGCAGTAGGTAACACGTTGTCCTTCAATTCGAACACCTGCTCTTCTTTAGGTGCTGCGCGCGGTTCCGATTTTAGGGAAATTCTCGAGCTCGAAGCCCTTCCGGAGGATCTCCTGTTTCAAAGTGAGGATTAGATATGGCCATCCCATCAATTTAAAGAAGAAGAGGGGATGAATCAAGCGGGACCTTCTTCCACCGTTTCCCATCTTCTTCTCCTCCGCCGTTTCCTCAAGGACCACAGATGCAGATCCCAACGCTGAAACACAAATATCCATCATCTACATGAAAAATCCAACTGCACGATCAAGAGAGCATGCGAGTCTCCAGGACACAAATCGGTGGTTTGTGATTACAGTAGAGTCTCGACGCGTGTTTCCTCTTGGGGTTACAGGCCGCCTTCTCGCCGACTTGATGTAGTGTCTCCACCGCACCCTCCTCACAGTTGATGGACGATGGCTCCCCCTTCAAGAAGGTAATTTGTGGGAAACAAGCAGCATCGCTAATGAAGAACCGGAGGCAAGTATGATTCACGGCTAGAACTTTACTGAAATTGCTCAAATTATGATACCTTGAAGGTGGTTTTCACGGCAACATCTTGACCCAATTTCTTCTTCTCCTGTCAACACAGTCAAATTTGTGCTACTACTTTCAGAACAGGTGAGAGCAAAACTCCATTGATCATGATCATCGGAACAGTAACCTCGAGTTCTAGCTTCGTTCTTTTGAGAGTTGCTACTGTGCATCCAAGCTCGTGCTGGAGTACCTTCAGCTGTTGGTTGACATGAACAGTCATCACTCTCCGGTGAGAAATGAGAAGGAGAAAACGGCAGACGGAGGAACGATTCGAAGGGATGAGAGGACAGATTACCCTGTCTTTTCCCAAGTTGAACTCCTGCCAGAAAGCAAAGATTGAGTCCGTCTCCGAAACGATTTCTTTAAGGGATTCACGAGGATGAAGATGGCATCTAGGGAGTATGAGAACAAACCGCCAGCATCAGAGTGTTCGCCTTAGCAAGCTGACAGTTCTGCTGCTGCAATTGCTGGCAGGAGACTTGGAGTTTCTGCAGTTCCAAGGCATTCAGCTCAATGATCTTGCTGCAAGATAGACAATCCATGGCAATCCATTGCAACCCACGAAATTAGAAAAGAAAGAAAGAAAGAAAGAAATAAAGAAAGCTGGAAAGAATCTCTGCCGATCGATCCAGTTGGTCGCAATGTTCATTACTTTCTCTCCCCCAGAAGCCTCAATAACGCCGTGTTTTCCTTCAAAGATCCAAAGGAAGTAAAATCAAGGAAGATCCAGGAGAAGGAGAGTAAGAATCAGGGAGAAATTGCAGATGGACTGTCTGGTTGAGAGGAGTGGAGCACCTTCAGCAGCTCGGCAATGCAGTCCTTGGTCTGAGGAAGAGGGCCCAGATTCAGGTTTTCTTGACAAGCTAGCGTTCTCGCCGTCTTCTGCACATGGTTCGTGGTGTTGGTGATGTCCGAGAGCCGCTGCCTTCCCTTCGCCATGCTCTCCATCAGGGAGATCTTCTGGATCCTCTCCCTTTTGCCGTTCCCTGCTCGCGATTTTGTGGAAAGATCAGAAGAAGACGGGAATGATGAAAGCCCTAACCAGACTCTGCCGTAGTAAGGCAGCGTCGTCCTGGCAGGACAAACCCTAGAGTCCCAGAGATTGGGGAAGAGAAGAAGCGAAATCGACGAGGAGACGACGAGGCGTTGGGAGGATTTCAGATTCCGGACGACGACAAGAAACCGGGTCACCGAAGAAATCACCTCTGCTTTCGAGATTAAGAAGGCCAGCTTCTTCCATGGAGAGAAGACTCCGCGCCGACGGAAAGAGAAAACCCTAATTCATCCTCTCTATCACACACACACACTCACTCACTCTCTCTCTCTCTCTCTCTCTCTATCTTTGCTCCCTTTCTTGAATTAGGAAGGAAACAAGGAAAGAGAGTAGCAGCAGCGGAAAGAAGAGAAAGAAGAAGAGAGAGAGAGAGAGAGAGAGAGGGCTGCTGGGAGAGAGAGAAATTAGGCTCGGGAAGCCGTTGCTTCCCGAGCCAAGACTCCGAACCTGGCTTTTTTCAAAAAGAAACTTCTCATCAAATCTCGGCCGTCCGTTGAGCAAGTGGGCCCAGAAACAAGGCCCCCACTTTCATGAATGGTGTTTGGACAAATATGGAGTTATATAGGACATTGGTGTAAACAAGGCCCCCACTTTCAAGCCCCCCACTCTCTCTCTCTCTCTCTCTCTCTCTCTCTCTCTCTCTCATGGTTTTTCTATCACCTTACAGAATGAATTTTCCGAGACAACAATTGTCTGCATAGCCACCCTGATACAATCTGATGTAGAACAACATGCATGGAACCAAGGAAAATATGAAATTAGTGAGTCAAGTGGTTTGAAAATGTAAGTTGTGGGCTACATAGATGATAAGACCTAAACAATTTGTGTGAATAACGTGCTAGAGTCATGGTTTAAGTAATTATCTTATTTTAAAGTCATTTAAAAATATTTTTAAACATTTCACTGTAACTTTTAAACATTTTAATTAGTATGAAATTTCTCTTCTCTAAGGTTTCTCTTTGCATGTGAATTCAAGATAATATTTTTTATTATGATCGATTGAAGGGTCAGCCTAGTCAACTCTTATGGATTCAAAAATTGAGGGTTCCAAGCCATGAGAAACAAATTCAAACCGCTCAAGGTTCTAAATTTAAGCATTGTGGAAATATTTCATTCCATCCAACTATGGCTGAGTCAATTGCCATAATCCACCTTCTCTCTTCATTCAGGATTAAACCCCTACAATCCCATTCCCACAACATGTTCTTGCTAATTAATGAAGTTCTTGCTGATCTAGTTTTATATCTCTATTTATGGAAATTTTCTTGAGACAAATCTTTCTTCTCAAATTTACACTGGAAGACAAAAGAAAACATTTCACTCTCAAAATAAAATATTTCACATAAATAAAAAAAATCCAAATGCAATATAGATGTGCAAATGGAAGGAACAATGACCCATAATTAAAATTTAGAAGAATATTGGAAATGCATATAATTTAAATCTATTTCTTAATATTTATTTAGCCCATTAAACCATTTTCCTTAGTTATAATTTAAACACTTGACATGTTCTTGCTATTCAATGGAGTTCTTGCTCCTCTAGTTTCAGCCTATTATTTGTGGCTAATTTTCTTGAGATTATCTCTCTTTTTTTCTCAAATTTACGCTGGAAGAGAAAAGATAGCACTTTCATGCTCTGAAATAAGAACATTCATAAAAATATAATATAAATTCCAGACGTGATGTAAACGTGTAGATGGGAGCATACAAACAATCCATAAATTAAATATTTGAAAAGTGTTGTGAAAAATACACAATTTAAACCTGTTTCCTACGATCAATTTAAACTATTAAACCATTTTCCTGAGTGTTTTCACTGGTATATTATGTTGCATCTTTCTTACTCCCAACTTTTTGATGTAATATTTCACTCTTTTTTAATTCAAAATTTAAAAACAAACTACTTATTATATATATATAAAAGGTTGAAGAAGAAAAATAATTTCAGAAGCTAGTCAATGGTTTGTGAGATGGGGATCTTTATATCTAAGAACAACTACCAGTTGGTCATCTAGACTACCTATCCCTTTCAACTCGACTCACCATGATATTTATTATTAAATAAACTATTGGAGCTGAATAATTAAATCATCATTACAAACCTGGGTTGTTTTGGTGTCTCGTGGGAATTTATCAATCCTCCATATATAAATGCATTTTTAAGAATATAAAATTATGTTTTTAAAAAAAGACATATTATGATTGATTGGAGGGCAAAGTCGAATAAAAGGTTTACATTTTTTGATTTCGCTATACCTGAAGAACTCCTAGTTCTTCAGTTTCTGTGTCCTGGTCCTTCACGGACATCAGGTTATCATGCATGCCTCATTATTTCGCCCAATTTAATCGCATTGTGAGTTGGAAACCGGTCCTAAACCTTGGTTCCCTACCTCATTATGTAGAGAGAGAGAGAGAGTAAATCAGTAGTAGGCTCTTCTCTCTCTTGCGATCCATCGCTTCTCCAACTGTGTAGACAAGAGGGCAGCGGAACGGGCGATTGAGTCTTGAAAGGAGGACGGTGTTCTGTTTCAAAGTCAAGCTCTGCGGTCAACCAATAAAACACCGAAGAAGATCAACGCTGCCCACTTGGAGTGACTCATTCAAGGAGGAGGGGGAGACTTCAAAAACTGCGACTTTTTCGGTCGTTAAGAACAACGCACTCCGACGGATCATCTTCTCTTCCCATTCAAGTCCGAAGCACGCCGTCGTGATCTCCGGCTAATGAACCCCCGCCCCAATGGTTGACGAACTCGCGAAGAGCTTTTCGTGGCCATGGGGGGGCCAACCAGAGCTGAAGGGGACAGGACAAGACACGTCCACGAGCGGAGGCCTCTGCTCGTGCCAACGCCCCGAAGCCAGGCGCCACCACACCCGTGCGTGGGGGGACGTTGTCTGCGGCCATTGTCACCCGTTGATTAGCTCCAGTCTGGAGCGAAACCGAAGGAACAGTCCCCGGCACATGCTCTTGTGTGTCAACTGTCCGTCGCCTGCCTACTTCATCACTGCTAATTAATCAATCCCAGCGAACAAACGGCACAAGAGAGAGAGAGAGATGGGAGGGGGGGCAGGGGCGTAGTTGTATTGGGGAGAAGAAAGAGTGGGGGAATAGGGGTACTAACTCCATTGAATTCTATTATCGACTAGTTTCTTGATGGCGGCTTGTCGTTCCATAAAATATAATTTACTTGTATTTTATCTGTGTAGTCATTGAGAATTGGTCGCTAGCTCGGAATACGTATGCGGACAGTGGATTTGACTGATCGGCGCGAATAATTATCCGATCGGATATTAAATATTATGACCGCATTTTTCAACGCCATTTACTCCCAAGGTTTTCGAAAGCTTGGTCAGAAAAGGCGCGGCCCATAGGACTGTCATCAATGACCGTGCTGCTGTTCTTCGTCCTCTAGGGTTTCACGGGTATCCAGTCCTGAGTCACTTTTTCTGTCTTGTCTCGGTGCAAACCAGGGTTGAAACCCCTGGAGGTCTCACCATCCATGTCGACAGTCTTCCACATCTCATCTAGTTATTTATTCATTTATCTATTAATTATTTTTCGAGTCAGTCACGCTATAAAGTTCCAGAATGTAATCGTATGGTTTCAGCAACCCAGATATAATTAAAATATATGCATACATTGGAGTTATAAATATATCTTCATTTCAGTGAGAGCCAGTTCTTGAAACGGTCCATCGTCGTCGCCAGTGTTTCCATGAATCCCGTTTGTAGGGTGAATTCGAGGAGAGTAGGATCCCCGGGGGCTCTGCGAGATGCCACTGGGAGCACTGGAGAAGGGGGCTCGCCGCTGCAAGAGGATGAGAGGGGGCGGCGTTCGGGTGGCGACCGCCGGTCGACATGTGACTCTGCGGCGCTGTGGTTGCATTTAGTGCCGGAATTGTGACAGCTCGACGTTGCAAGGGCACCCAAGCCGGGCCTTCCGTTCTCCGCCAGATAATTAAACGGCCGGTAGAGCGCCCTCCCTTCCTCTCTCTCTCTCTCTACGAGCGGTTACCGATTGGCCTCCCTTGGAGAACCGCCCCCGCCTTCGACCCGGGAGGAGATGTGCCTTTTAATCTTCGGCCGTTTGATGGCTCGGGAGGAGATGTGAGAGAGACGTCTCCTAGAGGAAACAAGCCATGAGAAGAACCTGATCCACGGCTTCCTTTTTGTCTGGCGGCGGTGGGGAGACCCAACCCGGATACAGATCTCTCTCTCTCTCTCTCTTCTCTTTCTCTCTCTCTCCATATCTCACTCACTCGTTCCTTTCTCTTTGAGTTTACCGGCTAGGAGCCACTTGAAGCACACAAGAAGGCATGAAAACAAAGCCACTGTGTGGATAAGATAATAAAGACGGAAGAGGGCGGGGAGGGGAGAAGAGGAGATGCCACTCGCGACCCCTCACTCCCTTTTCGTGAACGCAAGGGCACCTCGCCCTGGCGCACAACCACCACAAAGGAGGACGTCAAGCGGAGGAAGAACCAGCCCACAAGCAACTGACCATAGCGGTAGGAATCCGGAGAATACGTGCATCCAATAGTGTATTTCGATAGAAAAAAATTATCATTCACATCCCACAGCTCCTCGTTTGTTTGAGAGAAAATAAATTAAAATTATAGCGCCGGTGGCATCATCGCCGGCTTGATTTACTAATAATGGCAGCCCACCAGGGTTGACGCCGAGAAGACGATCGACTGCTTGCCGGAGAAGGCGAAAGCCGGCGACTTGGGGAGGTCCCCCCGCTCATCCTCCGAGGGGGCCGGCAGGTTGAGGTCCAAACAGAGGATATTCTTCTCCTTCTTGATTTCCTGGTCCACAGAGACAACCCCCGCCGCCGCAGCCGCCGCCGCCCGGTGGCGCCGCATGTGGCCGCCCAACGCTTGGCCGGAAGAGAATTCCGCCCCGCATATGGAGCACTCGTGTACCCTCGGCTTGTGGTTGGGGAAGGTGGACTTGGGGGAGGAAGCAGCCGGTATTGGGAAGCTATGGCTGTACTCATCTGCTATTCCCTTCTTCTCCTCTGGCTTGGGCTTCTTGTGGCTTGCCCGGTGCCCGCCGAGGGCCTGAAAGGAGGGGAAGCACTTGTTGCAGGTCTTGCACTCGTAGACGTAGAACCCGGCCTTTCCGCTGGTTGTGGTCGCGGCCTCCGCCAGTTTCCGGCTGTTGAATTTGCCCCCGTCGCTTTCCCCTCCAGGCTTCGGCGGAGAGTCTTCGAGAGCTCTTCCTTGGGCGAGGAGGATGAGGCAGTTGGCCATGTCTTCCTCGTCATCCTCCTCCCCCGCGCTGCCGTAGAATTCCCCAGAGGAAGAGGTCGAGGGGGTCGCAGTGGCCGCCGGAGCGACTAGCAGCTGGAACCTCTGCCGCCTGGTTCTCTTTCCCTTCGCGATTCCGCGGTAGTCATTACTGACGCCACTGCTATTGTTGTTGGCTGTTGCCGCCATGGCCTCCTCGTGGATCTCCGTTCCCATCTTCCTCTCCACCAAGGATCAGAGAACAGACAGTGGAGGACGAGGAGAGAAGGGGCTCCAAGCGGGAATCATAGAATACCCTTTCCCACAGTCACATAGATATATACGTCGAGAGAGAGAGAGAGATGAGAGAGAGAGAGAGAGTGGAGAATTAAAAATAGATGGGTGCTGAGAGAAGCAAGGCGGGCGGTGAAGGAGGAAGCAAGGTGGAGGAGTGGAAGGGGAGGGGTGTGTTATTTATAGTTAAATCGAATTTAAATATATATTATATTAGCGGAGTCAAATCTGTAAGGAGGCCCATCCAGGGGAGCTGGGAGTAACCGCGGCTTAGTCCTCCGGCCTTCCGTTTCCAAGCTCACCGGATCGACAACAAATAGACCAGCATATTACCAGTGCGATCAGTTATTCCGCAAAGGGTGCGTCGCGTTTTATTCGCAGACCGAAACGCCAGACATTCGGACGAGGAGTGATAATCGATAGTAATTGACGGGAAATGGGGGAGGCAGGGAGCGAAGAGAGGAGGGAACCGAGCTCCGTGAACCCAAACCGAAAGATGCCAATTTTAGAACTGGGTACACTCGGGCTCTCATCTCTAAGAGAGAGAGGGAGAGGGAGAGAGAGAGCGTGATGATACCGTCAGGGGTGGGGGAGAAGAGAGATTCGGCCGCCAACATAGCAAACCCAGTCCTTTACTGAAACGATTCTCCCTGATGGGATCGGAACGGGAAGCTGGAGCCACGGAAAATGCGCTCCTCCTCCCCTCGCTCGACCTCTATTTTCATCCGAGATCAGTTATCAAATCAGTTTCTCCCGTTTTAACAATGGCCCTCGAATTCTCTTGCTCCCCAGCTTTCACTGATCACACACATCGGAGACGGTGGTTGCAATTCTCTCTCTCTCTCTCTAGCCATCGCTGTCTCTCACTCTTCGGAACGGCGTATAGCCCACACAGATGAGCTACTGCCGATAAGATCATGAGGGCATTGACTTTGAGAATATTAATCTCATTACTTATAATATACGTAGACCTCATGTCTCTTGACTAATCTACCCCAAGTTGGGTCTAGGTTTCAGAACTCTGCAACGCCGACTGGTCGCCATAGGTGAGAAACCCCCCTTCTCGGAGAAGAATTGCGCCGGCCCTCCGCCTTCCCAAACCGTCGTATTCAGCGGCGGAGATGCCCGTCGGCGGTGCATGAACGGCGAGGGGGGTTCTCTGTAGATTCAACTTCTTGATGTATCGGCATAATTAGGTATTGGAAGGAAAGGAAGCCCTCGGTAGTCGGAAGATGATCGGAGATTGAATCCGGATTCCCCCTCGCACCGATCCACGCCGTTGACTTGATGATATGAGCGGCTAGGATCTCTCGTCAAGCTCGTCTGAAGAGACAGAGAGAGAGAGGGCACAGTGGCGTTTAGGCCATGCCGGAACGTCACGGAACGTCCCGCAAAATAATGTGCACCGGTTCCCCCGTCATCATCCACGCGAGGCTGGTAGGGAAGGAGAAAGAGAGAGGGGTGGGGGGTGTGTTCTCAGCCACTCCCACCGTCGAGTCGGTTGGTCCAACCGAAGCCTTTTAATTTCCGAACAACAAACGGCGGCGCGCATAGGACGGCCACCTGCGTTGTCTGGAGAAAGTATATACTATGCTAGAGATAGATAGATAGAGATAGAGAAAGACAGAAGAGTTTTTACAAATAAAAAATAAACTAATGGCTGTAAAATAGAAAGACCAAAGAGGGAGAGGGAAGTCCGGCGTGCCTCACGCGAACTAAGAAAATTTCACCCAAAATCATCAGACTCGCAGGACTTCTCTCTATTAGGTTTGTGAAACGCACAATAAACCCCCTCATCCCGGCCCTTCCAGTCGTTGACGACCGCTATCCTCCCATTATTAGACATCGCTTAGTGGGGTACAGTACTAACTCTCTCTCTCTCTCTCCCTCTCCCCTCCACGATTTTCTAATCGTCGCGATTCTCTCCAAGCTCAGGGTAGAAAGAGAGAGAGAGAAAGAGAGCCCTTCCCAGTTCTCCCGTGCCACAGTGATGGTACTCGAGAGGAGGGTACGAAGGGGAATAGCGTGCTAGGGGGGAGGAGGAAGAGGAAGGAGAGACGTGCGAACCCGACGCATTCTAGAGCGCATCCACTCCCACCACCCTTTTGCTTCGCTGCACCGACGCGGACGGCAAGTTATTCGTTTGTTCTTTTCTTCTACTTGTTCCTTTCCCTCTGGCGCTTCCCGTGCCCGGAGCGTATGTGGCGGTGGCGGCGGCGGCGGCGTTGGTAGTCGCTATGGTGTTGGCCAGTGTCCTCTGGGAATATTCAAATGGGTCGCCACGGTTGCAAAGCTGTATGAAACAACTTTGACGACAGCGACAGGACACCTGCCCCACCCGAAATTAGGTTACCCACACTTCGATATCTGGCTACTCTCTCACACCCCCCCGGCGTCGATAGAATGTGTTTGACCAACGAGGGTTGCCATTGACGACCTTGTGACTGCATCTGGCTTTTTTTCTTGAGGATAATTCTCTCCACCTGTTAGATCTTATGAACTGAACTAGTCTCGTGTTTCAAGCCATTATCATGGTTTTGGTTTATCTGGGGTATTTTTCTTCTAATTTCTCATATTTGTTAAAATTTCCAGAAAATTATATTATAGAACGCACGAACGTTTTATGAACTAAATATATATATATTCTTAAATAAAAGATTACTGTATCCAGCAACAAATTCCATCCACTTAATATCGTAAACGGGCCACATTTTCTGAAAATAATTTAAAAGAAAAAAACAGGTGAGATGCATCAGCTGATGATCCTTGCATCAGTGAGGCGCGAGTTACGGGGAACCGCATTATAAAAACCTAAAAACAATGATTTTTCATGGGAAAAGATGTCCAACCGACATAATTATTAAGACGAGACGCAGACTTTTACTAATAGTTGACGGAGAATTTATTATTTTAATCAAATAAGAAAAGCCTCCATTAAACCGCTCTATGAACCCCTCAGTCGACCTTTAGTGGGTGGTGGACAGGCCCATTGATGATCAGCAATGGCAAGGCTACCTCTCGATGCTGACACCAAGTGCGTGACACAAGGGTCCTTAGTCAGAGTATGCACGAATTGAAAGAAGACCCTTGGAAATAAACTTGAACTCGGAAATCGAATGAAGTTCGACCACCCATCCCTTCGTAGAAGAGAGAGAGAGAGAGAGAGAGAGAGAGAGAGAGGATGCATAAGGACTCAGGGAGGAAAGAGACCTGGGGGATGGGTCTGGCGTATTTTCATGTCCGGCCTTACTTTGAGGTATCAATCCGCTGGGCACCGGGCTTTGTGGGGTCGTTGACTGTAATTATCGACCGCAAGGCCGTCTGGAAGCTCTCCATTTTGACGGAGCCCCGACCCACCAAAGCCCTGGGATGCCCGAGAGACCTCCGGGCCCCCAGACTACGCACAGGGCCGCGAGGATTGATAGGGAGGGCGAGGAGAAAGGAGAATGAGTAGCTCCCGTGCGACTCGTGAATGCCGAGAGACGCGTGGTGTGATTTCCAAAAGGGAAAAAAAATTCAACCCAGGCCTTCTTCTTTTGGGAGGGAATCTCACGTTGGCTCGAGTGCCAGCTCGGAAAAGGAATCGGCATTCGGAAGATAATGACGATTTGATTTTACCAAATTAGGTTAACCTCGAGCGGATAAGACTTGGGTTTGAGAGAGTGAGAGAGAGAGAAGAGAGAGGAGGGTCTCCTTTAAACCGTATCCAAATTCTTTGGTCATGTTGACGAAGACCGGGGTCACCGCCATTCTGTCACCGACCACGTGCGCAATTTCTCTACTTTAAGTGAACCGGTCCCGGCATCCAATCACTTTGAGCTTCTCTCTCTCGCTCTCTCTCGCTCTCTCTCAGCTCCCGCTGATGAACCTATAGACAGCGGGTCACAACGCGTGCGGATCCACGGTCGCTGCCGTGCTCCTTACAGGGCTCGGGCGTGAGACAAGTTTGGACCTTTGCAAGGTATACTCATCGAAGGCTCCACCTTCATGCGGCTGCTCATACAAATGGGCTGGTTCGGCTGGGGAATCGCATAGCACACGAAAATAAAACCAAAAGTAGATCTTAACACGATGTGACGGGATCCAGCTCTTTCCCGGGCAGCTTTGGAATTCAATAGCGTCGGGCCGTCTCGTGGACATCTCTTTCTCACTCCTCATTTCCTCTCTTCGTCCCCCCCCCCCCTTCCTCCTCTCTCCTCACTAGGCGCCCACGGAGAACTGGCTAGAGACTTGATTCTTCGGTGTTCGGCTCGAATGCCTTGATCATCACGTTGTAACAGATGTAGGAAGGCATACAAGTCTAGTTGTCAGGGTATGGGTTATGAGAGTGAGAGAGAGAGAGAGAGAGAGAGAGAGAGAGAGAGAGAGAGAGAGAGAGAGAGTCACTACCCAACAATGCTGATCTTGTAACTGGTTCCAAAGGAAACTGAAAACAACTCGTGGTCGTGGAGTAAGTCAGGGTTCCATAAGCCATTGTACTAATGGATGCATCGGAAACGGTAAGGAGATAAGTAGGGGTGTTATCCGGCCGGGCTTGGTCGAGGGGGTCATGTTTCTCCGGGCCCATATTTTGCCCAAGACCAAATTCGGAGATGAACCCAGAAAACATGCCCCTGGATAGAATGTGATATGATGAAAAGACAGATAACATCCACTCGAGTAGCTGCCGAGTGCTGAACCATATCAACAATATATATGATATTAACCTACGTGAGGCCACAACACCTTGAATATGCTTAAGATTTGGTAATATTAATAGGCTTTCTTGATTGGCCCAAATCAGTGTCTAATGCTGACGCGGCAGCACTCTCACTTTGGGATGATTCTTTGGCCGAACCCTCTTCCCCTATTAACACATTTTCCAATAACAGGGCGACTGTTTTTAGCCAGAGGCGTCATCTAGTACGCCGGTTGCAGACTGGTAAGTACCGCGCACGTACGGAGAAGGCCGCAGCCGGCACGTGGCATATCTATGAGCACCTGCTCTCTCTCTCTCTCTCTCTCCAATCCTCAGCTAGAACTTAAACCAGTGAGAGAACATCTTCCTCGTCGGAGCCAACGCCAACGTTAGGGAACCAGACTACGTCACCTGGCCGTCTGCCAGACACGTCAGGGAGCATGCTAATGCTCTCTGGTAATAACCAATGCGGGACTGGTGCTCTGTCCTTCAGAGTGAGTGAGGGAATCAGAGGGAGGCCTTGGAGGAGGGAGCTTGAAAGCCGCCGTCCGCAGATCCTCTCTTCTCCTTCTGTGCACGGAGCAGCCTTCCTATCCACGGAGGCCGCAGCCTCTCTGTCGTGTTATTTTCTGCTCACGAGTTCTTATTCTGATATAATACAAAAGATTAGTCAGTTCGATTAGATTCGTCAAAGTTCTCGATTATTTTCCGTTCATGACATCTGCAATTCCAGTGCCATCGACGAGAGAGAAAGAATCGGAGGGGATGAAGAAAGGCGGGTGAGATGAGTGTCCTCGTCAGCTGAGATGCGCTTTGGTGAGGAGCCGGGTGAGCTTGCTGAGGGTTTCCCGTGCGGCGACGGTGTCCGGGTGGTGCTCGCCGGAGATGGACGTTCGGATGAAGATGGCCTTGCGGATGAGTTCGTCCGCCGCGTCGTACTGCCCTCCGCGGAGCATCAGCTTCGCCCTGGTTTCCAGGACGGCGGCACGGAGGAGCACCAGGTCCTGCCACAGGCGCATGGCCGTCTGCGCAGAAGCCCTCGCGCAGCAGGCGGGCCCGTCGAGCCGGTTGTCGTCGTCGTTGCGGGAGATTAGGGTTTCCGCGGCGGCTTCTACGGCGGCGGTGCAGAGGCGGAGGAGCTCCAGGGCGGCGGCGCAGCGGGAGAAGGTAACAAAGGTGTGGATGCCGAGGGGGAGCACGGCCCGCTTCACGAAGAGAAGAAGCTCGGAGGGCGCGAGTTTGACGACCACGGGGTCGACCCCGAAGCCGAACAGGAGGAAGCAGGCGGCCCAGATGTGGTCAGGGTGGAGGGAGACCGATCCCTGGAGACTGACCGCTCGCACCGCCGCCAGTGCGGCGGCGTCGCCGGCGGCAAGCCGGCGAGCGTAGAGCTTCACGTCGTCGTGGAAATGGAGGCAAGCTGGCTTAGTGCAGCCTCTGGCGATGCCAAACCTGACCAGCATGGACGACGCCTCGTCTTCTGATCTCCTGACGTGAGTGGCAGCGAGGCCGCAGCTCATGGAGGAGGCCCATTGCCTCCATAGTCGGCCGCCGTGGGGCTTCTCCCGGATCCTGTGTGCCGCCAAAGCCAGTAGGGGGATCGGAACGGCGGCCGGAGCGAACCAGCCGCTCACCTGCACCATTCTCGCGGCCAGATTCCGCGGCCCGCCGGCGTGGTTGAAGATGGAGAGGCAGACGTCCAGCAGCTGCGTGAAGAAGGGGTGCCCCTGTGGGAGGGAGGGATCGCCGCCGTCGCTCCACCGGTACCTCGCCGGCGTCCTGTTGACAGTGTCCAGGAGCCTGCTCGGGCTTATGGGGAGCTCGGAGAGGATGGACCCCACGATGGAGAGCCCAAGGGTGAGTCGCCCGAGTCTCTCCTCCATTGCCCGGAGGGCGTCGAGCTCACCGGCGGGATAATCCTTGAGAGATCCCTTCATCAGCGCCATCGCCTCCACACCGGAGAGATAAGAAAGCTTCATCGGCTCCAGGTTCATCACCCGCGGGAGGCGCGTGGAGATGATGATGTGTGCTTCTCCGCCGAAGCGGGGGAGAAGGTCCATGATGCTCTTCCGATCGAACCAGTCTTCCTCCCTCTCCAGGTTGTCGATGACGATCAGGAAGGGAATGTCCCGCATTAGCTCCCTCCTCACCCTGGCGACGGCATCTTCCTCCTGCTCCTCGAAGCACCTCGCCCTCCCTCTCTCCAGGCTGCCGCTCTCCACGCTAACGTCGACTTCCAGGAAGGATCTCAGGTTCAGGTAATTCTGCCGGACGTGCCTTGATTCGCCGCCGAGCCACAGGACCATCTTGTATCTCTGAGAAAACCTGTAAGCATACTCCAAGAGGAGCTCCGTCTTCCCTATCCCGGCTTCCCCGGAGATGCAGGCGATACCCTTCCCGTACATGATACTGGTTGACTTGCTCCATCGCCCGTGGTGGCCGGCGCCCTTGGTCCTCGGACCGAGCGTGTGGCTCTCCACTTTTTGCATCTCAATCTCTCTCTCCGACTCTTTCCACACCATGGGTTCCTTCCCCTTGCCGGCGGCCGCCGGATTCCTCCGCCGGCGCCGAGTCTTGAGCTCGAAGTACTCCTCCTGCCCATCTCCATGGACGTCGCCGAACAGGATAAGCTCCAGCTCGGAGAGCTCTTTTTTCCTCCCGACGAAGTTTTCCATCCTGGGGAAGGGGAACTCTCCCTTCTCGGCCCTCTGCCGCCATCTGTTGACCCTCTCCACCGCGCTCCTCCTCCCCAGCTTGGTGGCCAATAGGACCACCGACCTCACGACGCAGTCCCTCCAGTTCCCTTCGTGCGCCTCCAGCTTCGGGCTCTCCAAGCGGGCCAGGCCGTTGACCGCATCCCTCCATTGTCGTTCATCACCGCCGTACTGCGTCCACAGTTCTCCGCCATGCCTGTCCCAGACGTCTCCCCTTCTCTCCACGACGTCTCTAGCGAGGCAGTCGCTGGCGCCGAGGTCGAAGAACACAGGCACCAGGTTCTTCCTCTCCAGGAAGGATCTGAGCTCGTCGATGCTGTGCGGATTGGCGAAGGATTTCTTGGTCAGGATCACCACGCCGAAAGCAGCGTCCCTCATCGCCCTCTCGACCAGCTCGTGGCTACGGGCGTTCTTGCACCGGGCTCGATCGGCCGAGAAGCAGCTCATCCCTTGGATCTCCAGCTCTGCGCGAAGCCAGTTGGCGAATCTGATCAATGAAGGCTTACGACCATGGAAGCCCATGTAGACGTCGCTGCTCCCCTGCCTGCCGGTGGAAGAAAGAGCTGCCGACGGATGAGGAAAATGAGGGTCTCCAAGCCTTTTCCCAGCCCTCTTCTGTTTGACTCTATGATCCCAGTGATCATTGTCGCGGCCATTGCTGATATTAGACGGAGGGGACGGCGCGGCAGGAGGCCCAAGCACCCGCCAGGAGTCTTCGAGATTACAGGGCCCCCTGCTTGCTTGAGGAGGAAGAATGCTTGTGGAGGGCCAGCGTCCACTGAGACCGTTTTGTGAGCCAGCAATGGAGGAGCTCGGGTTTTCAGGTGGGGGCACCACGGAGGCCGGGGACCGCGGAGAGAAGAAAGGAGACTGGCTTGCAGAGACGAATGCAGAGGAAGAAGACGAGATATTGCGGGAGGTTGTGGAAGGTAACGCCCCGAGGTTGGAGCTTTCCTGTTGAGACTCCATCTGTCCATCTTCATGGGGAATCCAGTTCTCGGGGTGGCCGATCTCAATCGGTCATGAACCTTGGCGGCATTTCTTCCAACCCTGACGAGCCATCTGCAGCGCAGGTGGAAGAGATACACCATCAGAGCTTGATGAATTCGATGGGTTTGGAAATCAACGGGAATTGAAATCAGCGTCTGAAGATCTTCAGAGAAAAGTGAGAAGTTTTCAGAGAAAAAGTATCGGCTATTCAAGTTTCTTGAGGAGGAAATAGGATTTGCGGGATCGCAGCGCGACTTCGCTGGAAACCCTGGCGTTCTTTTACTTGACAGCCGTAAGTTCTTGCAGAACACGAAGGGTCGTCTTGGATCTGCCGTTCCAAGAATCGCTTGATTTCGGTCTGAGCCACGTCTCTTCCGCGAGAGCGGCCTTCAGATCTCTAAGCCGTAGAGGAAAGCGAGGAACAAAGCATGAGCGAAAGCAGGTGTCACCACGGTTCCATGGTTGAAGAAGAAGATCCCAACGAGAAAAGCAGCCTTAGGGTTTAGCTGCGCAAGAGCCTGTCCCTCCGCTCGAAGGCAGCGACGAAGAGGAAGGAGACTAGATCGAAGAAGGAATGATCGACTGCAATGGCTGCAGGATCTACGATAAAGCCCAGGAAAAACCTCCATTCGCGTAGGGGAAGCACAAAAAAATTCCAGGAAAGACGGATGACTCATCGAGAACTTACGTTTTTCCGTCCTTTTCCCTCTGAAACCTCTTCGACACGTCCAATCCGGAGAGCTACGACCCATCTTCTCTCCTCTCTCTCCGCTCGCCGCGAGAGCAGGAACCGTCCCACTGTTTACCCCGTTCAAGCTGCTGCGCCTCTTTTTCTTCCTCCAGTGGGGACTCCCCAGAAGGCTTCTGGGGGGGCTGGCGGCCAAAAGTGGTAGGAAAAATAAAGACCTCTTCTTCTTCTCTCACCACCCCACTGAAACCGTCAGACTATTTTACCTTCGACTGGCCCCTGCCCGGTTTTACCAGCGTCTGCCTCCGCCCCTTCCCCGAATGGCGGCGCCACCAAGACCAACCTCCAAACAGTCGCCTCACTGCCGCCGCCGCCGCCGCCGGCACCCGGGCCTTCCACCAAAAGCACCCTCCCGACGGGCAGCAATAAACAATCCCCGTTACCGCAGATTATTACTCTTATTTGCATCTGCCGGAGGCCGAGAGCATGTGGCTGGCGGAGGCGTAAAGATGCGGCGTCGCCGGCGCTCCGCCAGTGGGGGGCGAGACATGTGAGGGCTCTCTCCTACTACGAGCAGCCGTAACCAGCGGCGTGGAGAGAGGACAAAGCAGGCGACAGGTAACCCTATTACGACGCTGCCGGAGATGGCTCCGAGCTTCGAACGGGGAGAAGAAGGGGCTTTATCCTCGACTGTCGGAGTCACAGCCGCTCCTCCCCTCCCCCTTCATGGTTCCTAACGATCTGAGCACAGTCTCCCACTGGGCATCCGAATTGCGGGCGCCCTCGTCCGCAGGGACAGGGACAGCGACAGCGACAGCCGACACCAGTCCCTCTCCGTCCTCCTCTGACAGAGCCATGAATCGAATCGTCCAACCCTAACCGGGAGACCTACGAATCAGATGTCTCCCTCCGGTACAAGAACTGTTTCCCCACGAGCCGCAGGAATCTGCCCGTCATGGTCGCCTCCGGTCAAACGAACAGGTTTCCCCACTCTATTCACTCTCTCTCTCTCTCCCCCACCGCCGGCCTACCAGGCCTAACGGCGGACTCATCCCTCCATCGACTATTCTACGGCTCGCCGCCTCGGTTTCAGCTCTAATATGTGGTAACTCCGCTGGTCCACGTTGACTGGATTTGGGGTCATCGCTGATCACTTGACCCGACAGACATCAACAGCGTCCGTATAGTGGTCTCCCACGCGCCCCGCCACTATGATTCGGATGACCATCACCATTCATGACGCCCCACAAGTGGGTCCATCTGATAAGTTTTTGACACATAACTCCCTGAGTAATCTCGCAATTTTAGTAAAACTCCTGTGGTTGACAAATACCCCTCTTGTGGGGCGCTCTCTCCGACAGCGGATAGGCCCGATGGATTCTTCCTTACGTTGTCGCGCTTCGTAGGGCGAGTTACGTTGACCGTCTTTGAATTAGGCTTAGTTCCCTACGAACATTACCTATTGCTAATAAAGCCATCAGATTTTTTTAAGATACCTTTTTTTAATTTGAAAAACACCCTAACACTGTTATTCTCCCTGCCTCTCCCTCCGTTTGAAGAATAAATTGACTCGGTCAAACCGAGTTTAAGTGACCTACCACCCAGACGTCTCCGGGTCAGCCCGGGCAAGTTAAGAACGTTCCGTGGGTGGCAACTCATCGGTAACCGGCGCTAACGGGAGCGACCCGGTCTGACTCAGTATTCAGTTTGAATTCTTTTTTCCTTTTTGGGCTACTGCTGCCGGCCCATTTTCCCCCGGGTTACCTCCCCAGCCCAATAAGCGGAGAGTCGGATCGGCTCGTGGCCCTAAGTTGTGGTAAGCATTGCCGCAAAACACGTGGCCATGAGAGAGAGAGAGAGAAACCAGAAAAGGCTGCCGTCCCCGTGTATAACGTGAAGTCGCCGTCCAAAGCGCGTTCATGCCGCGTTGTGATTTATTCCGCACGTGTCCCACACATAATGGAAGCATATTACCAAGAAAAAAGAATCGAAAGTGCGAATATATACCCACGAATGTACCCTTACTTACTGTATAATAAAATTCTTTAAATTATTGAGATACATCAACGGCACTGGTCGTCGTCGGAGACATAAATCCTTTGGATTCTAGCGGTCAACAGCCGCCACTGGTCAGGAAACCCCGCTAGTGGGATACGCCATGTAATTAGTATTATTATGAGGGGGAGATCTGGTGATCAGCCTCGGAGAAACGCTATAAAATTGTGACAGCTGCTCTTCCAGCCATTCGCCCGAACGGTGAGATAAGAGCGGCTGAGAGGGGGAGGGACGGGGGCGGGGGGGAAGAGAGAGAGACAGAGAGATGGCTTCACAGTACGAGGTGGAGGTGACGGTGATCTCCGGCAAGAACATGAAGAACGTGAACTGGAGGAATGGGAACCTCCACCCCTATGTGGTCCTCTGGCTGGACCCCGCCGCCAAGCGCTCCACCAAGGTCGCTGTCGACGGGGAAGAAGGCTCCGGCGAGGACCCCCTCTGGGACGAGAAGCTCACCATCCCGCTGCCCCCCGGCGGGAGCCTCTCCACCGGCGGCGCCGCCCTTTCCATCGACGTCGTCCACGCCAACGCCGGCAAGGACACCAAGCCGCTCGTCGGCTCCGCCATCGTCCCGCTGGCGGAGATCGTCGACGAGGTGGGCATCGGGGGGAAAGCTTCCCGCACGCTCAAGCTGAAGCGGCCCTCCGGCAGGCCGCAAGGCAAGCTAGAGGTCAAGATCGCTGTGCGCGAGCCCTCCCGATATTACGACTCCCCTCCGCCGCCGGCGCCGGGGTACGGGGCTTACGCGCCGCCGGCGTACGGGCACCAGTACCGGGACTACGGCGGTGCACCGGCACCATATGGGTATGGCGCGCCACCGCCGAGTGGGTGTCCGTCCTATGGGTACCCGTACGGGGCGGCGCCGCCGCCAGCGGTGGGGTATGGCCAGCCATCGGCGTATGGGCAGCAGCCGTATGCCGTCGCCGGAGGGGAGAAGAAGAGCAAGTTCGGGATGGGGACGGGGCTGGCGGTGGGGGCGGCGGCCGGCGTGCTGGGGGGGCTGGCGCTGGCGGAGGGGGCGGACTACGTGGAGGACAAGATAGCCGACGACGTGGCGGAGAGGGTGGAGGACGATCTGGGCTTCGACGACGACGGCGGCGACTTCTAGAGCGCTGAACGCACGGCAGAGGAAAATAAATGTGTGGCCTTCGCTCCACTGAGCTCGCTTCCCCTCGGGTGTCTGATTGGACCCTTCTGCTTGATCTGATCCGAAGAACTTCCCAAACCTAATAAAGAGAGAGACAGCGAGGGAGAGGAGAGAGAGAGAGAGAAGGCTAGCCCCATTTCCGCTTCAAACGAGCTGGTTTAGGCCCCGTAGCGTGAAGTCGAGCCCAATAAGATATCTAATTGGGCTTGGGCCAGTGGACCTCGTAGGTCAGAGTTCATCAGCGCTAGAAGAGCCGTCATCTGTAGGAAACAACGAGGTTCCCTAAAACGTAGGGCTAGTTCGAACGATCTGTCAGCCCGTCATCTTTCCTGTGGAGAAAACCCGTGGATCTCTCGCTCCTTATATATGCTTATATATATATACACAGAGAGAGAGGAGAGAGAGAGAGAGAGAGAGAGAGAGAGAGAGAGAGAGAGACGTGCCCGGGGTCGTCTGCGTCTCTGAGTCTTTCGGACAGGGAGAGGGAGGATGCCAGCTGCGACTGATGCGAAGCGGTCGGCGATGGGCCATTGGAGGGTCGGATCGGACGGCGGTGGCGGTGAATTAAACGCCGAAAGCTATTTACCGGCGAGCTCCACGAAGGCCCGGTGGTTCATCTTACAGACCCAGCTGGAGAAGAACGGAAAGAGTAACTGCATTCAATATGATCGAACAACCACCTCCGGAAGCCCTTTAATGGATTCAATGCTTCCGCCAACCTTACGCAGTGGAACCCAGTAAATTCCTCTTTATAACCTGACCCTTAGTCGATCACTACACCCACCAGTTAGGTTTCTCCGCTCTCCCTCGCTAGCTCGTCCTTGAGAGTGGCCGGCGACAATGGGGGTTGAAAATGGTAAGGCCGAGCAGGAAATTGAGGCGTCGGCGGAGCAGGGGCACGAGAAGCCAGTAGAGCCGGAGAATAGGGGGCTGGTAAACGGGAAGCGTGGAGAGGGGGACAAGGAGGCCGCGGTGGTGAAGATCACAGGCAAGTCCCGGGTCCTCCCCGCCGCCCAGCGACTGGACAAGAAGGAGTGCCCTCTGATCACCTTCGACCTGCCTTACATCACCTTCTACTACAACCAGAAGCTGCTGGTCTACAAGGGCGGCGAGTACGAGGTGGCCGTTGAGAGGCTGAAGGAGGCCCTGGCGGCAGTCCTGGAGCACTTCTACCCCCTGGCTGGGAAGCTGGGGAAGGACGAGGAGGGCGTGCTGACGATTGAGTGCGACGGAGAGAGCCTCCTCGGGGCGGAGGTGCTGGAGGCGGCGGCCGAGAACGTCGAGGTGGCGGAGCTCGCCGGGTCCAATGCTCCCAGCTTCCTGCAGGAACTCGTTCCCTACAGCGGAATCATGAATCTGGAGGGCCTCCATTGCCCCCTCCTCTCCGTGCAAGTGAGCTCTCTCCCCTCCGAGTTTCGGGGTTCTCCCTCCTATCCCAGGGAGAGCTCGATACATGATTTTGTATTCGTTAGTCCTCCGTCGCTAAGGTCCAACCATAGGAATTAGGCACGTCGTTGTTCCTTGCTATCATAAACACTCCCGTATCATAGCTTTATCATTGATGCTTACTTTCCTGTCATTGTCCTTCGTTTCATCTGAAACCAGTTCACCAAGCTCAAAAACGGCCTGGCAATCGGCTGCGCCTTCAACCACGCGGTCCTAGACGGCTACTCGACGTGGCACTTTATGGGCGCATGGGCGGAGCTCTGCCGGGGCTCCTCTGTCATCTCTCTCGAACCCTTCCACGACCGCGCCCTGGCCCGCAGTGCCCGAGTGAAGCTCACCCTGCCCGAGTCGGCCGCCGCCCACGAGAAGGCTGACCCAGCGGGGACCCCCAAGCCCCTCCGCGAGAAGATCTTCACCTTCTCCGAGAAGGCTGTCGAGAAGCTCAAGGCGGAGGCCAACGCCGGCCTCCCCGACGGCACTAAGCCGCTCTCCACCTTCCAGTCCCTCGGCGACCACTTATGGCGCGCCGTCTGCCGCGCGCGCCGCCTCAAGCCGGAGGACATCACGGTCTTCGCCATCTTCATCGACTGCCGCAAGCGGGTCGACCCGCCCATGCCGGAAGGCTACTTCGGCAACATGGTGCAGGCCATCTTCAACGCAACCGCCGCCGGGCTACTGCTCGCGAGCCCACCGGTATACGGCGCCAACCTGCTCCAGCAGGCGATCGACGTCCACGACGCCAAGGCCATAGACGGCAGGCTCAAGGAGTACGAGGCCGCCCCGAAGATGTTCTACTTCCGGGACGCCGGCATCAACTGCGTCGCCGTGGGGAGCTCGCCGAGGTTCCCCGTGTATGACGTCGACTTCGGGTTCGGCAAGCCGGAGAGGGTGAGGAGCGGGTCGAACAACAGGTTCGACGGTATGGTATACCTCTACGCCGGGAGAGACGGCGGCCGGAGCATCGACGCGGAGATCTCCCTCGATGGAGATGCCATGGAGAACCTTGAGAAGGACGAAGAGTTCCTCACGGTCTGCGTCTAAGAGCAGTGGGTGCGTCTTATTTCCTCCGCCATTAGCGTTCCTCGTTGTTACCCTAGGAGGGACCAGGGCCCTCTCCGCGCGTTCCCACTCGCCATTGTTGTTTAATATCTTTCCTACCTTAGAAGCATGTAACTTGTTGGAGCAATAAATTGGCGGTCGGAATTCATTAATGTATTCTGAAACAACTGGGGAATGATTTTATGGCCCAACGTTGATGAATGAAATACTCGAGTGGAATAACATTAAATTCATAAGCTTTTCTCGAAAATGATTAGTGGTATGTGTTAATTAATTGGCCATGGGTGAGGTTGCCCTATGCTGGTAAGCTACTGCGTTTGGAAATGTTCTGATGATGCAGCGAGATCTAGGATTGTGGACCAAGTAGTCATCTGATGTAATAATGCATTGAAAAAAAGGTCTTTTCAAAGGATCGAAAAGTGTGGTCTTATCCGTCGTCTTCACCGACTCGGCGCCCTCCAATTCTCATAGGCTGCTGGAGTATTTAGTTCCTGGCGACAGGAAGATAAGGTAATTCCTGGCACAAGAGAGAGAGAGAGAGAGAGAGAGAGAGAGAGAGAGAAGGGTAGGGCGCATCCTTGAATTATGTGGCCGTATTGAGTCTCCGAAGATTCATGATCAGTCAGAACGAACGGCCAGTTGTGGAGGAACTCCGGCAGAACAACAAAGGCCCCCGCACGAAGTTCCCGGTATATTCCTTGATTCCCGGCAACCAAGCGGAAGGGAGAGAAGTGGTGTCAGCAAGACGGAGGCCCTCACCGCATATCCCCCAGAAGATGCCGACCGACACCCCAAAAGCGCCGTCCAGCTCCTTTCCGGTCAGTCGGAGGCCTGTCACCCATCCCCTTCCCCCCCATTTTCCGCTCTCTCTAATTGCCTCGCGACCATCATAATAGCTGACCCAGCGAGACGGGGCCTCACCACCCACTCCGTCGGCTGCTCCACCGCCGCCATGAGACTGTCGGCGAGGCAAGCCGAAAGTCCGTGGTTTTCGCGCCGCGCGATGAAGCGTCGTCCAGCTCCGACCTGCCGGCGGCATGGTCGGGTCGAGGAGAGCGGGCGATTGGCGGGGGCGGTGGAGACTGGGACGGAGCTCCCCGTGCGGCGGGGATACTGACCGGCGAACATTCCTTACCGTAAGGGCAACTCGGACCTTTGGCATTTGGAGCGCCTCTTGAGAGCTCCTCAATCTTCTTCCCCGAGCTCCCTGGAAGCCGCCGACGGCGCGACCTGACCCGTGCCTCTTCTTCATTCTTCTTGCGTGTTCTGTCATCTCCCCGAGCTTCGAATTCTTCCGAGTCACTCGTCTTCGCATTCTACATTGAATGATCTTGATTGAGAAAAGTGGTTATCTAATATTACCCAAAAATATTATCTGAAGATTTCGCTCGATCCGAATTTGATCACCGGCCAAGATATCTTCAGGCAGGCGAATGTCCTCATTGCTACCTAAACGCTGCCAGTTGACGAGGCGCAGCCGCCGCGAGTCTCCAGAAGGGTCCACGCCTGAAACCTCCGAGGAAACTTTCTTCTGTGTCCGTTCATTTGCAGTTGGCTGCCGTATATCTAAATTTTCATCGACTACCCCAGCTCACGCAAGAAGGTAGAGCACGCCATCATCACCAACCCAACTCTCCTTCTGGTTCAAGCCGGAGCCGACCCACAGCCTTACGGCACCCTATTAAAATTTGCGTCTCCACATCGATCCGTGGTTCTAAACAAGGGGAGCATGGAGGGGTCCGCCCGGAAGTACAGCCGAGGGAGATGGAAGCCTCCTCTTCTCTGGGTCTCCGCCATCGCTCTGGTCTCTTTCCTCGTCGCCATGCATTCTCCCCCAGATCATACGGTTGGGATTGCACGGAAGCTGGCGAAACAGAGCATCGGCGGAGATATCGTCTCCCTGGTGAGATCTTGGGGTTTTGCTGGGAGACGCCACCCGCCGCATCACCGAAGGAGGCGATCTGCCGCGGAGTGCGAACAGTTCCGACGGGCGGCCAGGATCGCGGCGGAGCAGAACGCTACCCTGATCTTGACCGTGGGTCATAAGGGTTGTGCCAACTTCAGCAGCCTACAGAGGGCCGTGGACGCAGTTCCTGATTACAGCTCCGGGAGGACCTTCGTCATCCTCGATTCTGGCATCTTCAGGTCCAAAAAATCCTCCTGAATGCTTGATAATTGTTGTCCAATTAAGGATAGTCACGTTAGATTCTCAAAGGCCGTAATAAAAAAATCGATGGCAGAGAGAAAGTGGTCGTCAGCGCGAGCAAGGTGAACGTCACCTTGCAAGGGCAGGGCTACCTCAACACGTCCGTCGAGTGGAACGACACCGCGAACTCCTCTGGCGGTACAGCATACAGTGCGACAGTGGCCGTCTTCTCCGCCAACTTCGCCGCTTACAATCTCAGTTTCCGAGCAAGTATTCAAAATCAATAGGCTGATGGTTAACCAGGAAGTTCATTTATCTCGTTTATGATGTAGTCAACTGTGTCTGACTGCTGGATTTGATGAAGGACAGAACACGGCGTTTCCGCCTGAGCCGGGGGAAGTAGGTGCTCAGGCCGTCGCTCTGAGGATTTCCGGCGATCAAGCAGCCTTCTACGGTTGCGGATTCTACGGAGCACAAGACACGCTTCTTGACGACCGAGGCCGACATTACTTCAGGGACTGCTTCATCGAGGGTTCCATCGATTTCATCTTTGGGAGAGCCCGATCCATATACGAGGTTGATTGTTAACCTTAAACCTTTCACCCGCTCGACAGAAACTGGACTGACGCACAGAACTGGGCAGGGCTGCCAGCTGAACTCTATTGCCCAGGAGCCACCCAACGGCACCGGGAGGGTCACCGGAGTCATTACGGCCCATGGGCGGCAGTCGGCCAGCGAGAAGACGGGTTTCTCCTTCGTGAGCTGCTCCATCGTCGGGTCTGGGAGGGTCTGGCTCGGCCGAGCCTGGGGCCCTTACGCTTCCGTGGTCTTCTCCAAGACGACTATGTCGGGCATCATCGCTCCGGAACGATGGAACGACTGGAACGATCCTTCCAGAGACCAGTCTGTTCTCGATCCCCCCCTTCTCTCTCTCTCCCTCTCTCTCTCTCTCTCTCTCTCTCTCGCTATCTATCTATATATTTCTATAAATAACAGATATTTCTATCTATTTCTGTTAAATTCTTGAGTCCAAATCTCAAAGACGCATGCCAAATCGGATGGTTGCTACCCGCTCCACTAATGCCCAACTAATTTTTCCTCAATCAACGAGTATGCTAATACGTCGAGGGGTACGTGAGATTCGTGAGGAACAGCAGGCTAAATCATGCTCACTCTGCTCATTGGCTATCGGTTTTGAAGGCGTATTTCTCATATCCCCCTCATAATTATCTTGCTTCAATATGCCGCAGAACCGTCAACTTCGGCGAGTACAGTTGCACGGGACCAGGCGCTGACTACACCACATCCAAAGCCGGGTACTGGAAGCTGCTCGGGGACTGTGAAGCGGCCCCCTTCATGGGCATCTCCTACATAGATGGGAATGATTGGGCGGTGCCTCCCAACGGGAACCCTTACCCTAATCCGTGCCAAGGATTTGAAGCTCATCGAGAGCAACTGGCCTCGTGGAGAACATAAAGACGCAATCTTTAAATGATAATCGCGGAGGAAGATCTTTCAAGTTCTGACAACGCGGCGCAGTTTTACTGCAAGAGAGTGGATGAGTGGGAGGAATATAGTTGTGAAATCTACAGCTGCAATAAGCTTCATTTTTATATAAAAAAGGGGTCGATCCTCAGCATCCTTGAGAATTCAAGTGATTGATGACAACGCAGCATTGAATATCATTAGATTGATGACCACAAAGCAGCGTATGCTTCGAGTGGATGGTATATTTTCGCAAAATTCACTAGCTTTAAACCTCTGTAAGCTTCTCAAATTAGAGAGAACTCTGATGCCTCTTTTTCCCTTTGCTCTCTAGGTCCTTATTAACTACTCAATGGTTAGGACTGAGTCCTTCAATTAGTCCCCCATTATCGGGAAAGGATGTTCCTCATGTAAATGATTTTGTTTGAAGGATCCTGCCTTTTCTTTTTCAAGATAGTATTACTGGATTGTGAAGGGGAGATTAGCTATATAATACAAAGTGGGCAAGATACTGATCAATTAATTGTAGCATCATCAATTATTTTTAAATAGATAACATGTATATATATATATATATAAAAATCATATTTAAGATTGGTAATCAATATTGTGTTGCAAGTTATTCATAACTTATGATAGTTAAACATATTTATTTTAATATATCTGGCGCAATGTATTTCAAAATACTTTTAGTTGTTTGATCTGGACAAGTCATCTAGCAATTCAATACAATACATTTACACAAATCGAATATGTAAATAATTTCTACAAAAAACTTAAAAAATTTCACTGTAAGGTGGCAGATATGTTGCAAATAAAAGATTCATTAAGAGAATGATGTTAAGACTATCCATACATCTTCAAGGTATTCATCTCAATTATTGCATACATGAAAATTATGTGAATAGAATATTTAATCCTCTAGTAGATGGATTTTATTTTGAAAAATCCCAACGATATAATATTATGTTAAAACCTTCTTCAGTGCTCATGATTTAAATTTTCCATGAAATTAATGAAGGTGCAACCTACTACTTGCCTATAAAAATGAAACAATAAAATAATATGTGGAGTAATTTTATATGGTAATACTTGAAAGAAATACAAGTAGTTGGCTTGTTGAGATAGTTACTACCATAAAATACTAACTACCATTAAAAAATAAATGAATTATTCATTTGAAAATTTTAAAATTAAAATAAGATTAAACTATACACTAATATTGCATACATGCGCTAGTTTATGGAGGAGAATGTTGAATGCACTTGATAAAACATGCATCGCCTTTATTTTCCACTATAACTGAAGAATGATTAGCTGAAAATTTAAATTAGAAAGACTGAAATCCTTCTCAATAAATATAAAGTACCTTACATTGGAACCTTAAATGCCAACACCTTGATTGCACTTTGGAGATATCTTCCATGTTATTTAGCAATGGCTTTGTTGAGCACATGATACACATTGGTGTTGACTTTCATTCCCACAAGAATATCATTTTTACCTATTATTTTACTCTTCTTTATTGACTCTAGGATATTTTAGTGGTAAATGAGAATTTCAGTGATTCTTAAAAACAAGCGAGAATTGGGTGAATATTAAATCGATATGATAATATATTCTATGTAATGGTATAATGAGTATCAAACTTTTTGATAATTTCAAGACATTTCGCACTTTCTATAAATTTCAAGGCATGCTCACCAAGAAAACTTGGCTATTTGTTTAGACATGCTTAAAATCTTCCACCTAGGTAGGCATCACCATTTAGGACATGTTTGCAGACCCTAGCTTGAATATCATCTGACCTCCATACAATATATTGACTCCAGTATTAACATTATGTACACATTAACACAAATATATTCTCCTTCTAACATCATTGCTTGTTGACATCTCAAATGAAGTTTAACCTACATGTTATGTATAACATGATTGATAATATCTATAAATAGTGAAGATCTTGAATATGTAACAAAAAATCAAGTAACTTACTTACGTTGTTAGTTATGTTTTGGCATGGCCTTAAACAACCAGATTGATCCCTACTTCATACTTGCTTTTTAATCTTAGCAGGTCATGACATGTGTTTAGTTCAAAGATTATTGGGATAATGCCAAAGACTTTATCTAGTCCCCTTAAGAGATGCTGAATCCTTGAATGAGATCTATTGGCTTTCAAATCCATATCACAATGACTTTATAGTTCAGAAATTTTTGCAATCATGTGTATAATTTGTTTTCATAGTAAGTTTTAGTTACCAAAAATGATTTCCATCATTATTTCTTTGCCCTTCAATTTCTATGGTAAGAGCATTGCAAATAATGTACAAATCATGAAAAGCTTAATTAAGTTGATAAAGGAAGTAATTAAGGGCCTCTTTCAAATATTACAATAATTTAATATGAACTCTAGCATACCAAAGTCATTTTAATTATTCAGGATATATGTTATGACAGTCATTCAACAATTTAACACATTGACTCTATCAAATCATATGGATGTATCGATTTCCCAAGTAAAATAAAACCTGAAGACTTCACTATGGGCCTCTTTTTGTCATTTTTAATGAAAGTAATTCAGAGTTAGTTTTCATTCAGTTCCATCTAATTGTTATTTTGAAAGCTTTTATGCCTCTAAACTTGGTTTCACTTCTACTTGGAGATCTTCACTATCCATCAACATCTTAATCATAAAAAAAGTCAAAATATGATAGCTTATATGCTAAAAATATAGCATTAAATAAGCATTTTCAAAGTCATCAAAATTGTGATAAACACTCTTGAGCATCAATTGGACAACATATATGTCATAATTTTTCTTAGAGTCATAATAATTTATTCATATTAAATCATATATTCATCATTTTCAATGACCCAATACAATCAATCATAACTTGTGAAGTAGATGCTCGGTTGCTTGCATTATAACCAAATAATCTAAATATTTTTCATACCAATGTATTTTCTCTCACATCTCTTGAACAATATTTTGGAGCATATAACTGAAATAAAGTATATCAATTGTGCCTCGTGTGACTATACAAAAAATTATTGGAAAATTAGAATAATGAAAATATAATCATCTAAACAATACATTAGGGATATAAATATTAATTAAAATGTACTCATGTTCATTACAAACAAATTCAATTTCAATATATTTCATGAGGCCAAAGCATGCAAACAATATTTTCTAATGCATATAGAACACTTTTTTTCAAACAAAGTATGCCAAGAAATTTATAAACAATAACGTGTATACAATCAAAGCTCTTATACAAGACGTGCTAAAGAAGCATTCAAGGGAAGTCTCTCACGATCATGATATGATCACAACGTGTCTAGCAGACGGAAGCCAGGAGAGGGATTAGTATTGATAGATGGATCCATTGATAGACTCATGAATTCATTGATATATTGCACCAGTCCACAGACAGAGATATACATAAACATGAAGAGCGAGCGAGCGAGCGAGAGAGAGAGAGAGTTTGGCATGCCTAGGCCTTTTATCCCACATGAAAAATGAAAATAAAATAAAATCAATTGAAATATTTACAAATGTCTCATTCGTGAATGTCATCGTGCATTAAGCCTGAGCTCGGCCAAGTCAACACCAGCGGTCGGGCGGGGCTCCACCCATTGACAAAATTATGTAAAAGATATGTGGGAATCAGCACCAAAAATGTAGAGTCGGCTAAGAAGGGTAGACTCCGATTAGATGGCACGTCCCCGAATAATGTTGTTGCACGCAGTCGGGCCAGCATTTGGGCCGCCGTTCCACAGAGCATACCGGCCCAGATACCCTGCATAAATAGAAGTCCATTATCAGGCCTAAAAAAGAATAAAAGCTCAGTAGGACAGAGCGCGGGGTGGGTCCTTGCCGTCACGCCCCCGTGGAACTAGTATCCGAAGGCGAAGCCCAGAGGGAGCCCAAAAGCGTAGTAGCAGCCCAGATTGATGTAGGCTACCAAGGCCTGCCAGCCCCCTCCCACGGCGACGCCTGCGAAGTAAGGATTTTAGGCCCACAACGGAGAATAAACCTGGGCCATGAATGAACTCTCAATTGGTTCTGGCCCATTATACCTGAGATAACAGGCTGAACGCTGTTGAGGACCATGGTTACGGCCAGGAGGTACGCCACGTTGGCAACTGCGCGCTGGAGCTCGACGTCACTGGTGAAGATGACGGCGAAGTGGTCCCGCAGGCCGCGGATGCCACCCATGCAGACGAGTCCGGTAACTAACGAGGTGATGATGATCGCCATGACCGCGTGCTTGGTGGCCCTCGGGCGACCCGAGCCCAACTCGTTCGAGACCCGGACGCTGGAGAAGATGAAAGCCGGTGTGTCAACTCGCCGCGACCCAGAAGGCGGTCAAGCATGGGCGGCGCTTTACCTGACGGCGGCGTTGACTCCGATGAAGAAAATGGCCTCCCAGCCGTTGATGTTCATGCTGCGAGGGGAGAGAGGGTTAGAAGTGAGAGAGAAGGTCACGTCGGGTTACTGTGCAGCTGGAAGGAGGAGAGTTATGAGACCAGATGGAGATGGAGTCAACGGCGATCTCGGCGTTCTGGAGGCCGCCGGTGAGGACGACGAGGACCATTAGGTGCCAGATCTCGAGGCAGAGCATGACGGCGGAGGCGAGAGAGAGCTTGGCGAAGGCCCAGAGGTTTGTGAAGGCGGCGGAGGATAAGCCGGTCCATGCGTCCTTGCACTATCCGACGACGTAGACCACTTGGGCGAGGGAGATGATCCACCTTGTGAGGTTATAGGCGACGGCGGCGCCGAAAAGCCTCCAGTCGAGGACGAAGAGGAACACCCAAAGCGTGATCACATGCGCCACCAGGCCGATGAAGCCAATCCAGGCCAGCACGGTGACCTTTCTCTGGGCCTGGAGGAATTTCTGCACGGGGAAATTGATGGCGTTGGCGAACATCTGGGGAGTGATCCAGAGGGCGAAGCGGCCGGCGAGCTCGGCGATGTCGTCCCGCTGCCCCAGGAGCTTCAGGATGGGGGTGGCGAAGACGTAGATGGGGCAGAGGATGAAGCAGCTGAATATGAGGATGATCCATGACCGCTGCAGGTAGATGCCCAGCATCCTCACCTGCCCCGCGCCGAACGCTTGCCCGCACAGTGTCTCCAGCGCGCTCCCCATCCCCAGCTTCATGATACAGCAGCAGCTGGTTAGATCCAACCCAACCAGGAGATAAGATTTCCAACCCCCTTCCGAGAGAGAGAGAGAGAGAGAGAGAGAGAGAGAGAGAGAGAGAGAGGATTTACGAGGGAACCCGAAGGAGAAGTTGGAGATGACGGAGAGGCCGATGGCGACGGCGGAGAGCTCCAGGTTGCCGAGTTGATTCCGTAGAGGCAGAGGATGTTGAAGACGATGGGCGCCGCGATCCACCACAGCCTCTTCGACTCCTCCAGATACACATTCCACGCGTCCCTCCACCCCTTCACCGGCGGGCAGTCCCCCTCCCAATCATCCTCACCCCAGCTCCTCCCCATCACCATCATTATATACCCTTCGCACGTGTCGGCCGACAATCGGCTCTCCGTACAACTGTAAAAATTACAAGGTTTTAAATAAATGTGCTAAATCACACCACGTGACGTAAATTTGGTAATTTTATACACTTTGCAGCTGCTCATCTATCCCCCGCCTCCTCTCGGGCACAGGGCAGAATGGGCCTCATTCAAGCAACCCGGGGGACTAGATAGCTTGGGCCTCATCCTCGGTCCTTTCCTCTCTCTCTCCGAAAGCCGCCCTTTGTTCCTTGTCGACTATCCTCTTTCTTTCTTTCTTCGTAGAGAGAGAGAGAGAGAGAGAGAGAGAGAGAGAGAGAGAGAGAGAGAGAGAGAGAGAGAGAGAGAGAGAGAGAGAATTCTTCTATCTCAGGCTTTGAGTGTCACTAAGCAGTGAACGTTTTAGACTCTTGAAGCCGCGAATTAGCTACAACCTCGCCCAGACGGCAGTTGCCGGGCCGGACCGATGGGCCTGAGAAACCCAATGGGCCGTCATTCCCAAGTCAGAAGTTGCCAGCCCGTCAAAATGAGATAGCCTCGCCATCATTAAGCAGTCAACGGTCACGTGAGCGGCGCGCCAGATTGATGAGTCACAGAAGAGAGTTGAGGGAGCGGGCTTTAATGGGCTTCCTTCCCTTCCTCTTTATCTCGATGACGTCATCGCCGTCGCACTCGCCACCCAGATCGCCGACTACGTCATCGTCGTCGTCGTCACCCAGCCACCGGGCGCGACGATCGCGAAGAAAACCAGCGCTGCCGCTGCCGCCGCCGCCGTCACCACCGTTGACCAAGCCACCATCGTCGGGCGTCCCCCGTTCCTTGCTGCTTCTTCTCCTTCGCCGGCCCGGTCCGAAGCCGTAGTAGTAGTAGCAGTGGTAGAAATCTGACGACGGCTGCTTCCTCGTTCTCTTGGCTTTCTCCCCGTCATCGCTCTTTCTGCCGCAATTCTCTGTTTCCGGCTGCTTCTTCGTCTTCTTCTTCGTCTTCTTCTTCTTCTTCTTCTTCTCCTGGAAGGGTGCCTGCCGCTGGATGTATGATCGGACTTGGTCGAGGTGGTGATCGCAGAGAGAATAGTGAAGTTGGGCATCTCGCTTGCAGCTCCACCCCTTGCCGTCGCTCTTGTTGCAGGTCTTCGCTGCAGATTCCACCTCTATTTTTACCTCCCAATCCTTCGATCCCTCCTTCGGAATGGGACCCTTCTTCCTCCCGAACATCTTCTTACCGCTGGTCGTCCTCCTCCTCCCGGCCACCTTCTCCTGGAGACTCGTCTCCTCAGGTTTCACAGGCGTGGAGACACTGCCAAGTGAGAGTGCAGTCACCGGCTTGCTCATATCAATCTCTCGTAACGAAATCCGGGATCTCGGAATGCCCCTCATGCCGTAGATAATCCGGGGAAGGGGGAGAGTACATAATGAAAGTAGAATAGTTTTGGGCACCTGAAGGCGTCTGGGGCAGCGGGAAGCTCTCCTTGTCCGCTCCCCGTTGATCCCCAAATAGACTCTTCCTTGTCTTCTCCCCTCATGCGCAGCATCTGAAACGGACGCATGCGGAAGCGTTGAAGCAACGGGAGGAATACGTGCAGACGAAGCGCGAACCCTAATGGATGGGATAGGGGAGTTCTCGAGGAAGAGCTTCTGCCCAGCGGACGGGGAATACGACGCAGGTGAGCGTTGCGGGAATCGGATGACGATCAAATCGATCTTCCGCAGGTTTTCCGCAAACCCTAATGCTCTACTGTCGCGGCGAAATTCAGAACATAAGGGCCTCATATCGAAAAACAGAAGCTAGGGAAGAGAAGGGAATAGAGCATGAATCCAGAACGGTTCGGCGAGGAATGGAAGCACCGGATCAATCGGACCGATTTTTTTTTGGGTTTATTCTGCTCCTCCGTCCCGAAGAAGTAAAACCCTAGGAAGAGAAACTCTCCCCTCCTCCCCCTCTCTTCGAGCGGGGGACAGGAAAAAGAAGAACCCTAGGGAGGAATAATCTTTGAGGGTCAAGCATTCCTATAATTCTGACTAATTCTATCAAAGAACGGAAGAGGAGGTGAGCAGCTCGATCAGATCTGACCTGGAAGTAATGGCCGGTGCCACCCTCCTGGGGCGTCGGAGGCAGCGCGTCCCACGGTGACTGGTTCAGCTCGCATACACTCATCTCCAGGTCATGAGCCGCCGCCATCTCCGCAGCAGCACATCCGCCAGCGCAAGATGGGTTCGGAATCGATGGAGAGGAGAGAACCCTCGACGGATGCTTACGGATCCTCATCGCGACGATGAATGCCGCTGCCTAACACCGAGGACCCAAGGCGATGAAACTGGCTGAAGTAAGGAAAAAAGGAGAGAGAGAGAGTGAAAGAGAGAGAGAGATCGACCTGATGCCCGAAGATCTTCTCAGAGAGAGAGAGAGAGAGAGAGGTGGGTTTTGGGTCTTCTGGTATTGTTGGAGCTGCTTCAGCTCTTTCTCAAGCATTTCACCCCTTAGAGTTGAGTATTTATTTATATATCCCTTTACGTTTGCGTCGGATCAGGGCCGTCCAGTACGCTCGTAGCTTCAATCGGACGGTGGGATTAGAAAGTAAGAGGGAAATTAGTAAAGTTATTTTCATAACATTTTGACCTTTTCTTCACGCCTTTCAGAAGTTTCTTGACTCGGACGGCGGGAGATTGAACTGTACGGGCCAACGGATCGGTCCAGCCGACGCCCCGGCCCGGCAAGAAGATCAGTTCGAAAAATCGAAGTGTTGCGATGTGAACGCATACTTATGCCACCAGTCATGTTTTGCAAGGTGAGGGAATATCCACTCGAGGGACTCGAGCTACGGGGGGAACGTGACTCGCTCCTGCCGGACATCAAGGTGATTATGGTCACCTTCCTGGGGCCCACTGCGCCTTGTAAAAACCCGAGTCTGCTCTTGACTTCGCAGTCAACGCCAAATTTATCTCACTGAGCGGTATCTGGACCCCCGCTGTCCGAAAGGAGGCACTAGTCGGTGGGTCATCCACTGAAGAACCATGTCCGCCGGTCGCAAGGGGAAGAAGGGAGCTCAAGGAGAAGCTCAACGGGATGCTCCAACCGTCGGATCACCAGACTCGTTGGAGGTCTCCTCCCCGGAGGTGGTGGTGGTTGTGGTGCGGGCAGTGGCCATGGTGATTCCTCGCCATCTTCGCCGCCGTGCTCCGCCCTGGGGTGGCGGTGCTCCACCGGATGGAAACCTGAACGGCCGTAACTGAGGATAGAGATGGTAAGCTTCTACGACGAGCATGGCAGCTGGGGGAGGTCTTTCCAGGGGATGATGGATGCGGTGAGGTCGAACAAGATGAAGTACACACTGATTGATTTAAAATTATTGTCATTAAAATCATTAATCTTACATTTATAAATTGATTTTTGGAGGTTAGTTTTCTTGAAAATTATTGGAAAACCAGGTCAAACTCAAGGAGGATTTGAAATCACGGCGTCCACACCAGTGTTTCATTAATTCTGGCGACGATGCTCGCTATTCCGGCGGATGAATTTAGCCAATGCTGATTGCTGTCTCTTGATAATAATGTAGGAAATGGAATGAAAATAGAAATAAACTTCTAGCTTCTCCCTCTTGTTTTGACGAACATGTGGAGCATATGGCTATCACGTGTAAGAGGTTCGAACAGTTGATCTTCTTCTTGCTGCACCATGGGAGGAGATCCACGATCGTTGCCTGATGCTGTCACCATCAGAAGGAAAAGGAGGGAAGAGCTGGCCCGCCTATGGTGTGCAAGCGGCGCCAAGGGAGAAGGGGAGAGGAGGCCGGTTCCATGGTAGGAGAGGACCATACCAAATAGAGGAAGAGGTGATCGTGAATGAGGGGGTAAGCTGGCAGGGGCTCTTCTTTTGGGATTATATGCCATATTGTAGGCGTGCCCCTTATGCCCCTTTTAATCTGCAAAAATAACAAGTAAGTTAATTTTATAATTTTATCCTTTTATGTTCACTAATTTTTCAATAGTCTATGATGAAACTAGTAATAAATATATGTTTATGCTCATGCATCATGATTATCTATTAATCATCTTCCCTCCAACAACTATTAATCATATATTTTTCCTCTCATTTATCTTGATGCTTCCATTCTAGTAGAAAATAGGAAAATAATACAATTCATAGATCATCATGTGAAAATACATAAGTAGAGTATTACATTTGGACTCATCATGTTCTTATATTCCTTAGGGTTGAAATAATAATCTTCTCGCCCCTTTAATATGGTGATTGCTTGAAATATCACAACCCCCCACTTAAACATTACTAGTCCCTTAGCAATTAATACATCTAAGCTTAACTCCTTTGATTACTATCTCCTTGAGTGTTGATAATTCTGCAAGTATCAAGTCCTGAAAATCAAGAATCAAAAGGATTTTGAGATCCATATTTGAATCTTTTTTTCAAGCACAAACTCGACACTTTCTTTTCCTTGCTCATCCTTTCTCCATTAATTAATCAAACTTGTTTGCTCTTTGTTCTTGATCTAGCTTCATGCTCTCCTTCAGTTAACATGATATGAAGTAATTCTCGGTCTAGTGTTTGCATGACTTGGTATCCATTATAGGTAAATATCCTCCCATCAATACCTAGATTGTTAGGTATGAAGGTGAACTTCTTGTCTTAGTCTCACACATGGAATCCTCCATGGGACAAGTTGAAATCCCATTTCACCAACACTATTTAGTTTCATATTATTTTAATGAGAGATCTTTACTCTAGTTGCACATGTAGAGGCCCCACATAGCAAATGAGAAGTCACCCTCTCAATATTGTTGCTTCTTCTTCCTTTTTCTTCCTTTTGTAAATTTTTTTATAGGAGATATTTGCTCGAATCGCACATGTGGAAGCCCCACAGAACAAATCGGAAACCCCTTTTCCAAAAAAAGTTGTTTTTATTCTGACGGGTTTGATCTACCTACAAGGATCATTATTTCTCACTTTTCCTCCAATTGACTTCCATCATGTACAATGAATTAAGAGAGGAGCATATCCACTTTTTCTTTCACATCAAGCATCCAAGGTCATAACTTGAAGATTCTATATTTACAATATTCAGTCCATGATTGGTCATTTTAACCATTGCACTATCTATTATGCGTCTTTAATCAAATACTTAAGTTGATTTCATCAAAGGAGTGCATTTCTTATTTTACTTAACTCACTCATCCTTGATATTAAAACTTCATCATTGTCCTCAATGATTGAATAATAAATACATATACAATTTTAAAGGATGCAAGCTAGAAGGAACACAATCATGAGTAGTGCATAAAGGAATAAAAGTAATAATTTAGTTGGAGTGGTAGCTCAATCACATGCTAGTCTCTTCCACACAGCCAATGTTCTCCACAATGTATTCAACTGAGAAATGTAATTTTGATTGCAGAAACTAAACATTAACTGAAAAAAAAACTAGAAGAAAATTCTAACAACAATAAGCAAAAATATTAGGGTTGCCTCTCTAGTAGTGCTAAGTTTAATGTCATTGATTGAACAATAGTGCAGCTCATGATATGTTTTGCAAATTAATTTTATCTACCTCTCTTTTGTCATTATGCTCAAGATATGCTTTAATTCTCCACTCATCCACTTTAAAATAGTTGTTAGATCCTAGATCTCTAAGTGTGGCTACCTCATATCCATTTTAATATCCTAAAGTATATGGCCCATCCCATCTACTCAATTTTATTAAAAATAATTTAAACTTTGAATTGTATAAAAATACCTTTTGACCAGGTGAAAATTGCCACTTAGTGATCCCATCTCTAAGTGCTTTAGTTTTTCTTTTGTAGATCCTTACATTCTCATATGCTTCATTTCTCAATTAATCTAATTTCTACATATCAAGAAATCATTTTTCCTTAGCCGTTACCATATCCATGTTCTTCTGCTTGATAGCTGACACGACTTAGTCATTATATAATAAATCATGTAAATTTAAATATTTATAAAATTTAAAAGACTAATATTTAGATATTTAAAAGTATTTTTGAACAAAGATATTAATTATAATTTAATAAAAGTCTAAAAATAGTAGAAAATTTTCATTTTGATCACAAGAATGTAATATAATATTGAGTAATGTTTTAGAATTTTCTATAAAGAATATGATTTTTTTATAAATTTTAGACTAAATAATAAAAATATAATATATTTAAAATTTACAAAAAAATTGAGTGGAGGCGTCAAGATGACGTTAGTGCCCAAACAAACATGAATTGGGTAGAAATAAAGTTCTACTTGAAGATTCTTACATAAACAACTACATACAATTTAATTGATCAAATTAAGATTTATAAAAACTAGAAGAGCCATAATTTCATAAAGAAGAGTTTTGAAACTTGAAATAACACAAAGTATCATTAAATTAAGTAAAAAATAATTTCAAAATAGAAAAGGTAAAGTTTTGGCCTTATGACAACGATTGTCAAAATTTTGTGTTTAGGATGGTTATTGTGTGATATCCATGACCTCAAGGGCTCTCATTGGACATGGATGACTTAAGTATTTGCTAGATCTCCTTTTAAAATCTAAAAAATAATGGTAGAAATTAAACTAATTAAAAATGATAAAATAGAGTTCCACCATCATAAAGATGATGTGTTAGAATCTTGAGCATTCAAGAAGATTGTCGTGTAATATTCATGACCTCTAAGGATGTCCTTGAATAAGGATGATGTAGGTAATCTCTAGATCTTCTTGTGAAGTTTAGAAACTATTGAAGTAGGTTGTCGAATCATCTTTGGTGGCTGTTGTTTGGTGAAGTAGAAAAATAACGACTTTGTACATCTTTGGTGGCTATTACTCGATGGAGATAATCTTGACAGAATTAGGACGTATCTTAGGAAGCTTCATTCGTAAGTCCGCATAGCACAAAGAAGTTCTTCATTGCATCTGGTATGCTCTTAAGAGGTGACAACTTGTCTCTTACTAGATCATCTTCTTTCTAAAGATGACTTGTTCGTCAATTAATCGAAGATGATTTACTCAATAGATTCACGATCCTTTTATCTAGAATCATTTGATAATTTTGATAAATTTTTTGCTGATGATTGAGTAATTATGATAATTTAGTCATTCACTGATAAATTGTAAGAAAATCATGATTTAATCAGATAAAAATATGAGTTTTGACTCTAATAGGATTTGAACAATTGCCAATTGTCCACGTATATGAGAGAGAGTGAAATAAGTATGTGAATACCCTTATAACATGACATTATAAAGGTATCTTGATCTCATAAATAATAGTTATTTAAGGTACTAAAATCATTGAAAATATTCAAGATGCTATAATGTTAATGTAGTTCTACATCAATTATTTTTCAACTTTTGAGACATGTATAATAATACATAAGTTTGTCATCAATGAGTCTCTCTCTAGTTTGTATGACCACTCTCCTCATGCTTGCCTAGCCTCTAGTGACATGGAAGTAGAGTGACGTATGATAAGTCTTCATTATCATGAGTTAATAATTAGTAAATAATATAGTTTTAGCCTTAACTCATGATAAATAGACTTATATTTATGCAAAATTATAAAAAGTGGTTTTTAGTTAATTAATGTGATTGTTTTGCTAATTATGTGATTTTTTATGAATTTATATAATTTTTATAGTTCTATTTTTCAGATAAATCAGGAAAAATAAATTAAAATAAAAATATAACAAAATGAGGGAGACTTGTTGGCCAATTAGGCCTGCAAGCAAGTCAAATGCGCAGTCAAAGGAAGCCACGAGTAAGGGCGTGAGCGGCTAGGATTGATGGGGCATGCGTGCGCTACTTTTCTTCCACATCACTAGTGGCCAGCTGATTGTGGGGCAAGGAGTGGTTGTACATGCAGGAGAAAAGGACCGATTGCTTGGAAAATGTGATACTAGTATTTATTCGCTCAAAACTTCATTGCACAAGCGATGTGAGACTAAACCCGTGTCACATCTTCCCCGAAAGGCTTCGAAGGTGAGCAACTAGTGCAGGTTCGAATCCTCCTAGAGCCAAAACTCGTATTTTTTATTTGATTATCGTAACTTTCCTACAAATCGTCAGTGAAGGATTAAGTTGTCAGAATCACTAGATTATTGGCAAAAATTTCATCAACATGATTCGCGGAGCATTGTTACTAAAATTACTGAATGATTCGCGATAAAAAAGATTACAAATCCACAGAGTAAATCATTTCTGATTGATTGACAAATAAGCCATCGTTGGGAAGAGGATGATCCACTGGGAAATAAGTCGCCACCTCTTGAGAGCATACCGGATGCGATGAAGAGTCTCCTCTTACTGTGCGGACCTGAGGATGAAGCTCTTTAACACACACCCCACCTCCATCTAACTCCTTTATGTCGGATGACAACCATTGAAGAGTCGTAAAGTCACTATTATGATCTTGATGGATAGTATTTACTTGATGTTAAAATTTGATTGATCATTTGAGTTTAATGGAGATTTTTACACCCTGATCTATAGGACTTGTGAGGAGAAATCACTTATTTCGAAAAAAAAAAAGAGAGAGCAATGTGAAAAATCTAAAAACAAAGAGTACACATGGAGGGTGTGAGACATCATTCTCATTGTCGAAAATTGTGCATAGAAAAACACTTGCTGCAAAATAAAGTGGATAAAGTGAAAGCCATCATTCTTAAAGTGTAATCTAGAAAATGAAGATTACACATAGAGGATGTGAGACATCATTCTTATTGTCAAAATTTGTCTATAGGAAAAGCTACTTGTCCACTATATATAAAAAAAAAAGAAAAAAAGAAGGAAGAAATATAGTGCAAACTTAAAAAATCAAGCTATAGAAAAAGGGAAATGTAGGATCAATATTATTCTTGGATGAGTATTGATAATTGAAACATCTTGTAAATACATCTATGAGTGAAGAAGTGATAAAGATGTGAATAGAAGAAGTGACGTCTAGATTGTTATTTCAAAGAGTGTTTAAATATTTAAGTGCTTGATATCATTT